CCTCCTCCAACCTCGACCTGAACACGTCTCCCTCCAATCCCATACCCCATCCCCATCCCCATCCCCATCCCCATCTCCATCCCCATCCCCATTTGCCCCCCACCACCAGACGGTGCACTCATCTCAGCCAACACATCCCTCACAAGACAAATATCCTCCCACTCATCATCCGTCCAGTTTTTTTCGTTTCGTCCCCTTTCGATTCCCCAACCCCGCACGTTGCCTAAAATGTCGGAGAGGACGGCATCCACTTGACTTTGCTTTTCGTGAAGGAGATGTTGATCGGATTCGTGCGAGTGGGTGAGTGCCCATTGTTCGAGACGGAGTTCGAACATCCTGCGGAGGAGTTTGGTTGTGCGGCGGATATCGGCTGCGCTTGGGGATTGTTGCTGAGGTTGGGCTGGATGGAGGGGGTTGAGAGGCTGGAGGGGGGATGGATGGGGGTGGGATGGATGGGAGGAGGTGCGGTTCGCGAAGGAGTGTAGGTTGTGTAGAGGGTTGGAGGTGGAGGTGGAGGTGGATGTGGAGTGGGAAGAGCGTGAGTGAGGGGGAGGAGGGGGGGAACCGCGCTCGGAAACGGGGTAGGGGGGTTGGACGGATGGCATGAGTTTGTGGAGGACGTTGTGTTGTGGGGGATATTGTTGGCTTGTGGTTCTGTGTCTTGACGACGATAGGGGGTTACGGTGTTTGGCTTGGTCATGCTGCTGCTGCTGCTGCTGCTGAGCTTGGGGGTCCTGATGAACAGGTTGGCCGGGGTAGCGAGGGGAGTTTGGTTGTTGGGTTTGACTTCCTCCGGGTTGATAGCCCGGAGATAGGCAGTGCGGGTGCTGGGATTGGGACAGATGGTGGGGAGATGCGGGGCCGGGCGAAGTGGCGGCGGAGGACATGGTGGACATGGTTGTTACGCTGCTTCTCCCGAGACTGCTGTTGCTGCTTGTGCTGCCAAAGTTGCTCAGACTTAGGCGGGAACCGAGGCTGGCGCTGCGGCGGTCGCGATTGCTGCTGCCGTTTTGGGAATGGACAGCATCTTGAGGAGAAAGATTGCCGCTGCTTCGATCATGATGCTGGTAATAGGCGTTCGGATCATGAGGATACTGAGGGTTCGGACCGGGTCTTGCCTGTGCAGGGAGGGACTTCCTGTGCTGGTGTCCATGTCCCTGATGCGATGGTGAATGATGGGTGTAGCCATTCCCGTAATCATTTGCTGGCAACTCAGAAATGGAACTCAATCCAGGTGTCTGGCCATAGTTATTGGAGGCAAAGGCGGAGGAGCCATTGGGGGTGTAGGACTGGTAGCCTCCGTTGGTGGAGTAAATGCCGTTGGCGTTGAGATCGTTGTCGTTGAAGTTGTCGGGGGTGATGGGCTGAGGTTGAAGGTTGGCGGAGGAGGACTTGGGCTTGAGTCCGAAGACTTTGCGGAGTTTTTCGGTGCCTCCCATGACTGTGTTCTAGAGATAGGTACTGTTGTTTGGATTATGGATTTGGTTGGCGAGGAAAATGGGAGTGTCGTGGTGGCTTCTTGAATGTTTTCTGATGGTGGAGAAGCGTAAATGATGTGGGATGTCTTCCACGGGTGTATTTGGCACAATCCTTTGTGCCTCTGGGAGCTTGGGATAGCAAACTGAACTCAGAGCGAGGCGTAGAGGTAACTGTTGAGATTGGTTCTAGTTCGGATGATCAGTTCAAGATTTGCAGAAGGAAGAGAGTTCAGAACGCATATCAGAAATCCAGCTTACACACCAGGGTCAGGTCCAGAAGTCCACAGGATTCCTATATCCCAAAGCTAAAGAGATGGAGGATGAGAAAAAACCAAGTTTTCTGAGATTAACACACATCAAAAGGTTGGAGGCTTGTCATAATCAACGCGTCCAACATGAACTTGACCGTCACTCTTCATGGCGGCAGAACACAACAATAAAGCATCACAGCCAGCGCTTCCCACTTCCCTTCTCGTTAACCATAAAGCAGCCACCAACATAGCCCCAGGCACTCACATTCCATTTTTGGCTCCAGTCCACCCGACTTGGCTTTTCGCCCACGGCATATGTACTGACCTTGGCACAGCACTCCTGGCCCTGGGCGCTTTTGCAGAACACCACCACCATCAGGATCATGACCACTACCTCATCCTGTAAGCTGTCGGCTTTACCCCGTATCCGTCCTGGCTCGGCGCACATCCGGGTGAGTTGGCAATGCACATACATTTCATGAAGAAAGCCTCGCCTGGTTCGCATTGCATTGTACGAGTGTCCAGTCAAGTTCCGGCATGGATCGTATATGTGCTATGAATAAAGCGGTGGTGTGCAGCTTCTGGTCAAAGTCTCTTGATGTATTGGCTTTTATAGACGCACTGTGCTAGCCCGGCTGTGGCCTGGGAGCGAACGAATGAAGAGGATGTGATGAGTGTGGCTTGCATTCGTTAGCTCGTAGAGTCTCATTGGGTTTTCTGGGTACCTCTAGACTCTGATATTGAACAGTAGTGTATTGGAATCGCAGTTGATTCGAATGAGGGGAAGGGAAATGTGATTGTGGTGGAAGATGGGGAGGGAAGGGGTGGAAGGGCTGAGGTCTTGGCTATCAACCTGGCGTCTCGCAGAGCATCCCGAAAAGGGAATGGGTGTGCAAGTGGTGTTATTGGCAGGTAACTTGTAGTTATAATGTTTCCGATGCTTACCTATGAATGGAAGTACCTATCGATGGCAGGATGAACAGCAGGGTTGAAATGCGAACAGGAAGCTTCCTTACAGAACGGGTACCATTCTCCAGTGCGGATTTCCGAGCAATGTCTGTTGATGCAGTGGTATCATTGGAAAAATTCAGACTGAAGTGCTCAGATGAACGTAGAAGGTATCCCTTGCCAATATCACAACCTGGTTTTCCATCGTAAACTCCAGCTCCGTCTGACTTCCGTTCTCATCATCAACATTGTGCTTCATCACGCGGAGATATCAGATTCCCCTAACAGCACCTCCGCGCTCGCCAACACCTTCCCGCCACTCGTGATCTTAACCTCACACTTCTCCGTAACGTGAATCTCCACCTTGACCCAGAACTTATAAAACTTTCCAGCCTCCTTATTTGTAAACTCGCTTCTATTCGTGTCTGGGATTTTGGTCAAGTTGCACTTGAGCGTGACCACTGTGTCTCGGCCTATCTCACTGTCAGTTATGGTTCTACAAGAAGGGAGATAACAGAGCGAAGCAGAAATAATGGATGAAAAGAAATGTAAGAACAAACCTTTGTTTACAGCAGCAAATCTCGTTGGTGGCTCATCAGCACTCGACGCAACAAATACCACCTCTCTAAAGACCTCCGGCGGCGGCGGTGGAGGCATGATGTTACCACCGCCCCGTTTGTCAAATCGCTGCGACACCGACCCCGGATTCTGTGCTGGAGCTCTCCCAGTCCCATTTTGAGCAGGAAAGTGAGTAGCCCGCATACTCCAATGGCAATCATACGTCGATACCATGGGCTTCCCAGGGAACAGGGCGTCCCCTTTGTTGATGAACCACCGAATCTGATCCGTCGCCCACTTGACTCCTTCCACATCCACATCGACTTCTGACGGCCGATGGCAATTGTAAGGGGCGTACTGTGTGCGGACTTTGATGCCGTAGTGCCTCGGGCAAGGACGGATAATTGGGGGCAGCGAGGTGTGAACCCCAAGGGATTTGATGATAGCGCCTCGCGTGACGGCGGACCAGCAGTCATCGCCGCGGTCGACCTGAATACTGCTGGTCATACCCCAGGCTTTGACGCGCTCGTAGAGGTAGGGGGAGCGGCCGAAGCCCCCGGAAAGAAAAATCTTGCGGATTTTGAGCTTTTGGATGACTTGAATGTGAGTGGCTGCTTGACTGATGAGAACGAGAGTTTTGTCGACGGAGTGTTTGAACATGGTTTTCAGGTCATCACTGATGTTGTCAGTATGAACTCCCTCAGGCTGTTAAGAACTGGTCGCACTTACACAGTGATCTTGATCGCACCATTCATGATTCCCCGCTCTTCATCATCTGTTGTACCGATTCCTCGGGGCAACTGAATGGGAAACCCGAGCTTCTGATCCTTGCCATCGAACTGATGCTTGATTCCCTCAAATCTCCCATGTAGCATGCGCAGCTTTGGTTTGATGATGGAGTGTCCTCCCGTCGCTTGGTCTTGTGCATCAGTTTCAATCAGCCTCTCCCAGTCTTCCGGGCCCAGCTTTTGTTCGATGAATTGCTCAAAAGCTCGATCAATACATGTAGCTCCACAGTTGTCGCCTATCGGGTAGCCGATTTGTTCAAGCTTGAACTGCTTCTGGTCGAGATCGAGGCTTACAACTTTATAGGAGGCCAAGTCCTGGTTTTGTAAGATTGCGAAGATGTGAGAGGATGAGAAGGAGGACGTACAACAGTGCCACCACCGGCATCGACGACGATGAAGCAGTCATTCTTGCGAAAGTTTACACGATCCTCGCGCAGTGCTTCTCGTAGGGTATAGTGGGCGCAGGCTTCGGGTTCGGAAACGAAGGAAAAGTTGCGGATTTTGGGGAAGAGATCGGCCTTGAAGGCGGCGCGGACGGCGCGATATGTTGAGTTCAGGGCTTTGTCGGACCATTTCTGTTGGCGTCAGTCTTGAGGCTTGCAAAGGTGATTATTCCTTGCTTGACTTACAGCAGGATGTGTAATGACCATGTCGATGGGGATATTGTCAGCAACCCTTCTTCCAACTTGGGTGCAAATCTCCTCCAGAGTCTGCTCGGCAATATTGTCGAGATAATCCTTGACAATATCCTCCGGCTCCTTGGCCAGGTGCCGTGGAATATCATTTCTGATGACAGCATCTTCGCTCAAGTCAAGCAACCGCATACCCCAGAGCGTCTCAGCCAATGTTCTTAGCTCAGAACTTCGACTCCGTGTCTCTTCCAGCTCCAGCTTGGTCCATTTGAGTACTCTGGAGTTGTCATCGATGTCGTACCCCCATTGCCGGCACCCCTTGGGCGAAGGGGAGTACGAAATCTCCGAAGGGACTTTCTCCGATTCATGTGTTGGCCATCCTTGGAGCACCCGTATGTCATCGGCAAGAGCATCAAGGTTCTGGTCCTTTTGCCTCGAAGCGACAGAGAGGTAGGCAATCCCGCTAAAGGTTGTTCCGTAGTCGAGGGCAACGACCATGCGCGTCTCTGGTGTGGAAATGTTTGCCGAGGAGAAATTGGGAAAGCGGGGGGGACTATCGGTTCTTGATGGCGTTGCGGCCTCGTTCAGGAGGGCGTCTTGGGGATCATCGTAGGCATCCCATTCATCAACGTCGTCCTCGCTTCTTCTTGTTGATATGGGCGAGACCTCTCTCTTTGGAGTACCTGGAAAAGCTGGGGAGACGGAGATAGAAATGGGCGGGGGAGGGGGAGGGCGAGTTGGGAGAGAGGCCATGTTGGCTTGTGATTTGATTCCTTCGGCACCGGTATGCGCGGTAGTAGGCACACTTTGGTTTCCTTGGGGTCCATGTAATTTGACCAAATGTGCAACTCGTCAAAGAGTGTGCAGCACAGTTATGACCTCTTCAAGCGTTCAATTCCTTGACAGTGAACCCAAGAAAACTTCCCAGCCCAATCTTACCCCGATATCACCATCTCAATGGCAGCCTTTCCTACCATGCACCAGCTTCAGCCACCCATCGTGGCTGCGCGTACCAAAACCATCGCCTCTCCCAGTCGCGACGCCGCCGCACCCTTCTCGTCCTCGTCGCTCCCAGCAACCCAGCGTGACCCATCCAGTCCAGATACCATCGTTCGAGCCCCCCTCACCATACATGCCGAATTGACTGCTATAAAAGCACCGACCCACAAGGCTGAGGTGTCATTTCCATGTGGTTGCACAAGCGCTGCGTCAAATTGGGATCGCAGGTTGGCGAGGGCTGGTCGAGAATGCCCAGGTGGCGTCGACTAGTGATTTTTTGCAGGATCCCAAACCGCCAAAGATCACAGGTCAGTCCATGTTGCGGGCACCAGAAAGTACCGCGAGGTCTTCAGCTCTTGCTTGGCACTGTGCTTCTCCGAATGGATTGACTGGGCGGTCGGGGACGATGAGGTGCACATGTGGTGTGTTTGGTGGTGGTTGTGGTGACATGGCAAGCTTTCAGCTGCGGGGTCCGAATATTTGGAGAAAGAGTGACTGACTGAGGACAAGACAACACAGGACAGAATGAGCCACCTACACTCCGAAAGAGACACTGGAGCTGGATGGGACTGCGGAGATGGCAACCAAAGTCTTCAATCACATTGCCAGAGACTGTGTGCTGTGTTGTTGCGTCTCCAACTGTTTACACGGCGAAAGAAGGACGGGACCAAAAAGAAGCCTACGCACTCGTGAGATGTCAACGTTCCAGAAAGTTAACCCCAACACTGTCAAGCTTCACATATTCCAGTGATCCCATACACTCCCTTAGACACTCTATAGCTACCTTATGAACCATGAGTTTCACTCTACCTCGATTCAAGCTGGGAAAGAGCGCCAAAAAGAAGACAGACCGTGACGGCAACGGATCTGGATCTCATGACGGGAAACATCATTCTATCGACGTGCTCCTGCGCCACGACCTTAAACAACTGAGCAAACTCAGGGCCGAGCAACTAGAAGGGTATTCCAAAGAAGACCTTGAATCCCTCCCACTGGACCGACGTCAAGTCCTACCTGCCGAAGTCCTCTCCACACTAAGCCCCCGAGCTCTAAATCAACTACCAGGCAAAACCATCGCCAAACTGTCTACTGCTGCACAGATTACACTTTCTCCATGGGCTCTGGCTAGAATACCCATAAGTAGCCTGGCTACGATCGATTCAGAGGTCCTCTTTTGCGCCTTGCCCGTCCTTGGTTCAGATGATCTTCGTGTACTGAAGAAAGCCATCCACCGAATCGGCCACGACAAGCTGAGGCAACTTCCACCTGATGTGATCAGAAGACTGCCGTTTGAGCTGCCGTCTGAGCCACTGCAACTTCCACTTCAATGGCGGGAGTCTTCCATGATCTCGCCCGAGAAGTCATTACCGCCTGATCCGCCCCAGACCTCGACACATAGCCTTGAAGTGCCATCTGAATACCTCTATTCAGATGCCCGCCATGACCAACCAAGCTATGAGCAGCCAAGTGTGGTGCCCCCAAATGCTCACTACAACCCTGCCAATGTCGACACATCAATCTTCTCTTCTTCAGCCGACCGGTCATACACAAGTCCGCCATCTCCAGCTCATACAGTTCCCGGGCGGAGCAGCCCAAATACTGTCAGGTCATCTGCCACTGTGCAAGCAACGGCATACCCTCCAAGAGCCTCGGATCACAGGCTATCGTATGCACCGAGAAGGAACAGTAGTGTTTCCAGGGGGTCACATATTCGGGCACGTTCATCCAGCCGCGGTCCTAGACCGGATCGAAATCAGGAGTACCAGGCCTATACACCAGGTTCGGTGAAATTCGCCGAGCTTGGCCCCATCGAGTTCGCAGACCTCTCTAGAGATGTCTCTGAGCTGGGACCCTCAACACCACCGCCAAGATCGAGCTCTCGCCTCGATAGTCTTTCCGTTTCAGAGCATATCAAGCGAGCAGAGAGTTGGAATGACAAACCTCAAGAGTTCCCGCGAACAGAGGCTCCAAAGGAATCTCGAGAGATCATTCCCAAAGAAGATTCCAGATCCATGTCTCCAACCTCGACCTCAACCTCATCAAGCCCAGACGTAGCCTCTTTTGCCAAACGCAAGCTTCGGGCTGCTCAGGGAAACATATCATCGAGTGCAAACGATGACGCCGACCCAAATTACAAACATCAAGTAATCCAGGATCATACAATCAGCGAGCTCAAAGCGGAAAACAAAAGGCTTAATGACCACCTTATCGATGTCAAAGCCGACCACAAAGCGCTCCTGAATCGTCTGACCAATTACCTGGACGACAAAGGCCATAGTAAAAGGCACACAGGCGATCCCATCGGCGTGGTAATTGCTTACTGCGAGGAGCTCTGCAAAGAGCGTAAAAAGATTGCCAAAGAAAACAAGGACTGGGAAGATACTCATCTGCGTGAAAAGATGCATCGCCAGGAGGTGGAGGATCTAGTCGACGAGAAGTCTCGGCAGTTGCGGGCTGCTGAAGATGACCTCCTTGGTCTGCAAAGCAAAGTCAAGGAGTTCAGCCGGCGAGCCACCGAGCTTGAAGCCCGAGAAAGCTCCCTCCGCAACGACCTCAGCCGTCTCGAGCGCGAAAAGAAGGAGCTCCATAAGCGCTGCGAGAACCAAAAGGAACTTTCCGATGCTGCTATCAAGAGGATCCAGCGGGAGAGCGACCAGACGGCAGCGGATCATGTTTCCCAACTGCGCGCCCAAAAAGAAGGATACGCCAAGAAGATGCAAGACCAACGGATGTACTACGAGGGCCAAGTCAAGTCCCTTCACCAACAACTCGCCGACCAGTCCCAATCCCACGAGACGCAGCTAGCCCAGGCGACCAAAGACTTGCAAGACACCATCACCAACCTCCGCTCGCAGCACACCGAGGAACTCAACCGCATGGAAAGCGCCTTTAGCGAGCAAGTCGCTGGCCTCCAGACCGCCCATAGCCAGCAGATTGCTGCGCAGCAGAAAAAGCACGAGCAGGATATCCAGCGCTTGAACAAGAAACACGCGCGCAACGTCGTTGATCTTCGAGAAAGGGTGCAGAGCTTGGAGAACGACTTAGTCGGAAACAACGATGATTTCCGTCCTGCCACTGACGACAGTCTGAAGATCCAATATCGCCAGTTGAAGCTGTGTATCGATATGGTGACTGAGCCCATCAACTTGGGCATCACCGGGGTACCGCGGAACCTGGGAGAGCTGGATCCGACGAGGTTCTTGGAGAGGGAGGGCAAGAATCAATTGCGTTTCTTGCTGAGGAGTGTGGTCTGGCAGAAAATTGTCGAGGGTTTCTTTTCCGAGCCGTTTGGGTTTGGGGCGTTGGGGAAGGGACAAGGGAGGGAGGTGTTGAGGGGGGTGGTGGAGGGGTGGATGGGGTTGTGTGGTTATGATGACGGGCCTTTGTCGAATGGAAAGATGGGTAAGTCCAACACATTTCCGTCCTTAGTCATTTTCTTCGTGAAATGGTAATACTGAAACCAGCCGACACAGCATCCCGATCGACAACAACAGACACTGACCTCCTCACCCCTTTCTTCCATTCCCGCGAAGCCAACAAATGGCGCTCCGCCACCTTCCAGTCCATTCTCATGACCGTGGCCCCTCCTTCCTCCTCCATGTCCGGCAGCAAATCCAACTCCCGAAAAGGCCAACAAGCAGGAGCACCCAGCCCTAGGGGCACCCCTGGACCTCCAGAGCATCCCACTGCCACACCTTACTATACCAACATCAACCAAGTCCAATCGCAAATCGTTGCCCTTCTCTCTTCCATTTGCTCCGAACCCTTGTCATCCGAGGTCCAATCCAAGGTATCCGAGCTGGCCCGCCAAGCCGGAGAATTGGCCCTCCAATTCGGAGTCCAACGGGCGCAGCTGGGGTTGGAGGTGCCCAAGAGGGGAGAGCAAGTGAAGATTGGCACAGAGTCGGGGTGGGTGGATTGCGAAGACGGGGAATCTTTCGGCGGGAGAAGGGGGGTGGAGGTGGAGGTTGACTTGTGTGTGAGCCCGAAGATGTATAGAGTGGGGGATATGGACGGGAGGAACATGGGAGATAAGAAGGGGGCAAAGGTGAAGGCAATTGTTGCTGGTGAGGTTTATCCTAGGCGATCCTAGGGCTGGTGACGAGATGGGTGGGGTGAGCATAGAAAGGGGAAAGCAGAAGAGGAAATCCTCATACATTCAAGTTCGGTCGCGTTGATGTTGACCAGAAGGAAAAAACACAACGCAGAGTATAAAGCATAATGTTCTCATCCCAATCATCGTAACATCGTTGTGCCCCCCAAATCCCCCAAACACCAAAACACCAACCCTAACATCACAACCAAACCAAATACTCACCCCCACCTACCTACATCAACCCCCCACTCAACAACACACTCTGCCCCGTCATGTACCCCGTCTTCACCAGCATCTCCACCACATTCCCCACCTCGTCCGTCGTCCCGAGCCTTCCAACAGGAATATTCTTGACATCTCCCGGCGTTCCCTCCACGAACTTAGCATCCGGAATCATGCCCGTCTCCCCAATCATGGCGGGCGCAACATCATTAACCGTGATGCCTTGGCCGGCGTGCTTCCTAGCCAGGTTCTTCATCAAGCCTTGCAACCCCGCCTTGGAAGCAGCGTAATGACATCCGTTGATCCCACCGCCTTGGGCAGCAATGGAGGAGACGAAGATGATGCGGCCCCAGTTGTGCTGGATCATGTGCGGGAGGGAGAGCTTGCAGAGGAGGAAGGACGAGCGGAGGTTGATGTTGAGCATCTTGTCGAACTCGTCGAGGCTGATGTCCAAAATGCTGGGGATGCGTTTGCCATAACCGGCATTGCTGATGAGGATGTCGGGGCCGGACTGGCCGTGCAGGTCCTGGAGCTGGGTAAAGAGGAGTTGGATGTCGGCTGGCGAGGACAAGTCGCATTTGTGGGTAGAAAAGGGCAGCGGATTAGGGTTGGCGGTGGTACGATTGAGGGAAAGGGCTGGGTAGTGGGCGGTGTAGAGTTCTTGCTCCAAGGCCTGCAGCTTCTCGGGGGAAGAAGAATAGGTGAGGGCGAGGTGGGCGCCGAGAGACCACAGGCGGCGGGCTACGGCAGCGCCGATGCTAAACGAAAGGGGTGAGTCAACTGTGAGTGCTGTGAAGTAGGCAACAACACCACAACAGGCGAGACATTGACACTTGTCTGGAGTGGTGATGGCTTCCCATTTCGCCCGATGCCGAGAAAGATGGTTAGAGGAGCAAGGTGAGATTTACCCTCCGGATGCGCCTGTGATCAGGACGAGCTTGCCCTTGACTTCGTTGTCAACTTGGGCCATGGCGTGACTGCAGTGATGACCTCGCTCTGAGGACTTGGCAATCAAGATGAGGGGGAAATGAGCGTGGGACAGTCGAGGCAAGAGCGACAGAAGTGAATCCAGTGAGACGAACTTCTGAAGAGACGACAAAGATGAGAAGTAGAGGAGGAAGTACTTGGTCGTCGACTTGACAACGGGCCCCGCCTTCCTTTTATACACTTTCCGCTTGGAACATGTCCATGACTGAGTGGCTGCTGCCTGGACTTGCGTCACTGGTTAAACCACGTGCTCGCCATCAATCATGCTCACATTGAGCCACTTGGATGTAACAATGAGAGTGATCGCAGGTCATGTTGTTGGTGTGAGAAGAGGAAGAGGAGAGGAAGAGGTCGACTGCGGAGAAGCAGCCACCAATCAGCGAGGATAAGAATTGTCCAATCACATCCAAGGCCGGGATCAAATGCGGACAAGAGCCGGTAGGTATAGTCCCCGCTTCCGACCCCGCCCCGCCCGACTCCAACGGCCGTTCCGTGGGGGCCATATATAGATTTTGGCAGGTGTGAGTGAAACTGTTTCCACTGGATAGGTACCGGATCGGTGATCAACAGACGGCATTGGCAGGCTCGGAGCGGACCTCTTGACAAGACAGATTCCTCTTATTCTTCTTGGCGGGTTCTCATCTGCGCAACTTGTTTCACAAATCAGCTCAGAATCCCACAAACACCAACGAATATTGCATTTCTTCATTGCCCTTGCGGGTTTTTGGGTATTCCAAGGCTTGGCCAAAGAGTTTCTCACCAAACGGGAAACCACACTTTGGTTTGTCTACCATCAGATCAGTCAGATCAGTCATCCAACCACTGACACATTCCTGGCATTCACATTTCCAGTCAGGACTTGGCACCAGTCATTCACTCTGTAATAGAACTGTTAGGGAAATTGCCGTGAGCGCTGTGTCTGCCCGTTCTCTTACATAAGTCGAGTCTTCTCGGCAGCCCAAGGTTCCAACTTTCTTGACCAACATCAAAACCCAAGAGGTTTTCTCAATACCTCTCTCACGTCTAACTCAGAGAAAGCCATCCATACACCATCTGCAATCAACACCAACCACAAAAATGGGTACCCCCTTCATCGCCACCCTCGAGCCTCCTGGTCTCGCCCTTTCCCCCTGGAACGCCTCTCTCCCCCCTTCCCAGCAATCCTCCTCCACAACCAGCACCATCCCCAAGACCTTCCTCGACGCCATGACCATCCGCGAATCCGTCTTTATCAACGAGCAACAAATCCCCGCCGAAAACGAATTTGACGCCAACGATGCTCGCTCCGTCCACTTCGTCATCTACGCCTCCATCAACCAAGTTGTCCAGCAAGAGGAGCGGGATGCGAACAGTGGGAGAGTCATGAGACCAAGAAAGTCAGAGACGCGGTCGGTTCCCATTGGTACCGTCAGGATAGTCCCTTTTCCTCACGCCCCGCATCCTGTCAAGGGAGGGAAGTATTTGGCGGATGAGTTGGTGAACCTGGAGGAGCTGGACTCGGAGACCAAGAAGGCGTTGGAGGTGGTGCAGAGGGGCGGGAAAGATCGCAAGACGACTTTGCACGATGGAGAGGAAGTCTACATGAAACTGGGGCGACTGGCTGTCTTGAAAGAGTTTCGCGGTCGTGGCATCGCAGGCCAGCTGATCAGGCGCGCCTTGGACTGGATGAAAGAGCACCCCAGGTATTTCAGCCCGTCGGTCAAGGAGAGGGGGTTCGAAGCCCTGGGAATCGATCCGGAAAGGGACGCGAGGATGATGCCTAAGTGGCGAGGTCTGTTTTGCGTTCACGCCCAGGTCAGTGCCGTCGGTGCTTGGCAGAGGGCTGGCTTTGTGGTGGATGAAGAGATGGGGAGGTGGTGGGAGGAGGGGATTGAGCATGTTGGCATGTTTTGTCGGGTGGATGCGAGGGCGTAGGGGTATCTGCTGGAGTCGGGGCTGAGGACGGATGGACATTGGGGTATATTGAGCAAAGGTGTTGGGTGGTCGGTAGTGGTATTTGTGACAGTGTTTCCTTCTTATGAGCGGGTGTGTGTGACATTGATACCATAAAAAGGGTGATGGGAAGATGGGTCAAAAAGGGCTAGAGGAAGTCGAGAGTCGTTAATCCACTTGATGGCAGAAGTACAGCCCTCTTGAAACAAAGACATGAGGAACTATGAGCAGCTAGACTTCTGTAGCGGTGACGTTTAAAAGGAGCCTGGAGCGGCAGATGACTTACCTCATGTTGTTGGAGCCAGGGAGATTCAGCGAGAATGCTTCCTTGCTATTAGCGCTAGCGATATGTTGTATCATACAAAAAGAGGGTAGGGACGTCGAGTCTGAAAGCAAAAGGGGGTTAGAACTGGTGTTCGATCGTTCACTCACGGTCAAACGGACGTCATGCATGGAAAGAAAAGGGGAATCATAATTTCACCGAATCACCGGCGCCTCGTGGTATATGCACTTAAAATCTTGTCCGCAAATCCACGTTTTCCTCTCATTCAATGTCTGAGAGCCCTTATTGAGTGCCTGCCTGTTTTGACCTAAGTGCCGTAGAAGAACCGCATCCTCCCAGACCCAGTTCCCTTTTAACGCGCAACAAATGCAGCCGTAGTAGCAGCCGAGCAAAACATGCCGAATAGAATCCGTCCAACAACTCCAAGCACCCAACAAGTTTCCCCCATACACCTGCAGCCAGCCAGAACCGCTTTAACGGTTGGACTTGGCAACACGCTCGAGCTCATCCTTCTTCTTAATGGCGTACGAGTTGGAGGAGCCCTTGGCGGCGTTGATCAGCTCCTCAGCAAGGCACTCGGCAATGGACTTGACGTTGCGGAAAGAAGCCTCGCGAGCACCGGTGGTGAGGAGGGCGATGGCCTGGTTGACACGGCGAAGGGGAGAGACATCGACGGCCTGGCGACGGACGGTACCGGCGGAACCGATACGGGTGGAGTCTTCGCGGGGACCGCAGTTGACGATGGCATCGACGGCGATCTGGATGGGGTTCTGGTCGGTCATGAGGTGGATCTAGATATCGTGTGTAAGTGACTGTGTCTGGCTAATCGCGTATCGCAGGTTGTTGCGGGTTTCGGGAGTCTTACGATCTCAAAGGCGTGAGCGACAATGCGGACAGCCATGAGCTTCTTGCCGTTGTTGCGACCGTGCATCATGAGGGAGTTGGTGAGACGCTCAATGATGGGGCAGTTGGCCTTGCGGAAACGCTTGACGGCATAGCGACCAGCGGAGTGGGGGAGGTAGACGGGAGAACGGATCTGGATGTAGTCGCTGTGTAGATATTCGTCGTTAGCCCTCCGTTCGCGTGTGTGACTTGAATCATCTTTGCGACCAAGATGCATGTTGCCCAAGTCCCCCAAGTCCTCCAAGCGAATTGGCGATCAATCGTAACTCCTGATTTCCAACATTTTCCTAGCTCTTTATTTTCCTTCTCCTTCTCGCGTACATGTTCGTCGGATCGCGTTTTCGTAGCAATCTGAAAGGGCCGTGTTCTTGGTGGTTTTGATATGTATGCATCATCTAAACGGGTTGCGCTTACGTCAAAGAGATATCCCTGATCTCGACATCCTCGTAGCTCCAGCGGTCTGAAGTCGCAAAGTTAGCATGACGACGCCCATGTGCACTTTGCGAAGGACCGTAGAAAACATACTGAACAGCTTCACACTGCCAACCTCAGCGAGGACCTCCTTGGGGAGGACCTCGTACTGGGAAACGGCCGCGACGTCAACTTCTCCCTCAGACATTTTGATTGCTGTTCGGTGGCCGGACTGCAGGTAATTGGTGGTGAAGTTGGCCGTGAGTTCGGACAGGATAACGTCGAAAGGGTGGTCGTTCGGCGAGCGGAGAGTGACGGGTCGTCGTGGGAATTTTTTGGTGGCCCCGCCCCAGGTGGTCAAGCCCCAATCTGCCGCTACGAAGCCCCAAAAGACCCAGTTGTGCCCCCAGTTGTGCGGCCCGTGCACCGCCACGCTGGTTGCCGCAAAGGGGGAACAAAATGGTTAGGGCTCAGTTAACCTAAGCTTGGCCTGGCGCGCACCCGCAGTCACTGGCCTGAGTGTGTGCAGTGTGTGCGTGCGCAGAGACCAGCCCAGCGCCCGAGCCACACTTGCCTGCGCGCCGACCAGAAAAATCTCCCCGCCTTTTCGTTGCGCAGAGGAAAAGACCTTGAAGCCAGGACTGTCTCTCCCTCTCCCCTTCATCCACCAAACCACCAGAACTCATCATTCAAAATGGCTCCCGCCGCGTCTGGTGCTAAGAAGCAGAAGAAGAAGTGGTCCAAGGGCAAGGGTAAGGAGAATCTCTGTCCATTTTTCGGGGTCGTCATTTCCAGCAGATGATGATGGCTTCACGACTGTCGCCGTCATAGCCATCGTCGCTGCCGTGAAGGCGCTCCCCGACAACATCAAAACTTTGGGCCAAATTCACTGACACATACCCACAGTCAAGGACAAGGCCCAGCACGCCGTCATCCTTGACAAGTCCACTTCCGACAAGCTTTACAAGGACGTCCAGTCCTACCGCCTTGTCACCGTCGCCACCCTCGTCGACCGTCTCAAGATCAACGGCTCGCTTGCCCGCCGCTGCCTCAAGGACCTCGAGGAGAAGGGTCAGATCAAGCAGGTTGTTGGACACAGCAAGATGAAGATCTACAGTACGTCTCCCTCGCCCGGTCGAGCCGACCGGCGACACCGGATTTCGATCAGCCACACATTCGAGAACAATCGGCTAACATGCGATTTCTACAGCCCGTGCCATTGGCGCTGACGAGTAAACGTCCAAACACCTGGCGATTCTCTTGACATGACGGACCGGCAGACTTGAAAAGGTGGTTCGTCAGCGACAAGAAGGGGTTTGACTTTTTTGATCGGGCTACGTCTCTGGTGGGAATGGTCAATCTTTGCATGCACAATGCACACGGTGTAGCAATTTAGTGGGAGGGGAATCGGGAAGTGCTCCTCAGATTCTTTACACAATCACACTGGGATTTTGCATCGATCGGAAGATACGAACGGAACGACCAAGATCACGACAAACGAACGGGGCAGACTCGCCTCCTATCTGCCTGGGAAAGAGCTGTACCCGAGTTCGATGCTTACGTGCAAGCCGTGTGTGTGCGCGCCTAGTCCGATGGGAACAGCTTGTCACGAGCAGTTCTCTATGATACCCCAATCCATGGAGAAGGACAAGAAGGACTAGAGGCGGTAGAATAGGAAACTAATTCACTGCCTCAAAGCAACATCTGAGTTCACACGATATGCCAGTGACGTATGTGTATGATGTATGGACCTATCGATGTCTGGATGGGATTCTCCACGACACTAGTCCAGCCCTATGATGAACAGGTCCCATATCGTGTACACTATGACCGCGCCAGGCCGTTGAGGTATCCGGTCACGGTCATGGAAGTGGACAAAGCTAATTAAATTTCTTATCGAGTGCTTCTTATCTGCCAGACTCCGTCGAACCGACACACCTCGGTGAGAAGAAGCTGAGCCTCTGGACTACGCTTTACACAATGTCGGCTCCAGTCACCTATTACCCTGATACAAGGGGACAAGGTTCCCATATTCTAACACGGACAGTCTGAAGCTGCCGCTCACTCATTCTTATCTCTTCAAGTATAAATTGCCTCATCGCAAACACCATCTTTCCAGCCGGGACACAGTCGCTTACATACGACATGCACATATTAGTGAGCCTATCCGGATTTGCTCCTCCGGACAAACATTTGTGATGCTTGGAACCCAACCGTTTCCTCCTTTCCAGTCTCACCTATGCTCGTCATACCTCTGTATCAACTTACGATTTATGAAAACAGTTGAAGGCATCTCAGTTCCAGCTCCTCAAGGCAAACTGGTGCCTGGCGCATTGAGCGGGACATTTTACTGTCTGCTGTGGTCTCATACCTGGCGGGCATCAAACTTCAACAGAGGAATCAATGAGAGATAATTCTGCCTTTGAAAGCAATGACTCCGAACCTTGACATTTCACGCTAGCTTCGTTGCTTGGCATCCCGAATTTGCAAGAGCATCGCAGACGCGCATTTGCTTGTTCCGTTGGTAGATGGCTGGGGCTCCCACGCCAGATCGTGTGAGGTGCGACCGAGGAATACCATGACATCTTCCGCACAATCTGACAAGCTGAGCACGTTGACAGAAGGCATGAAGTTGAATCAATGGGTCCACTCGTTACAGCCAAGAAGGTTGGCGCCCTGACCATCGAATATTGATGGTAAAAGACGGCAGACGGGTTATGCGCAACGAAGCATACACTACTTGTCGTCCCAAATCCCGTATTGTCCATGTGCCTGCAATCGTCTCATCTGCAAAGCATGTCTCGCTGCTGGCTTGCTCATGAACTCTGGATACCTGAGAGCACGTGAAAGCTCGATACGGTTGAGGTTATCTCCAAGTCCGGTCCAGCGACCCGAACCTTGTCGTCTTGGCATGAACGGACCCCCTCCGGCCGGCACCCTGACGGCTTGTGGGATGCATTGGGCATTCGGAGCAAATGGCACAGATAGGCCTTGTTGCCGCCACCGTCTTCCTCTTTACTTTACCTTTCGTATTCAAGGGTTTTCGTCTACACATCGGACTCACCGTCCACCGTCAAGAGCGTGTCGCATGGGCCCTAGAAAGCTGTTGGAGCTTTGCCCATTCTCAGACTCTCATTGACCGAAGATGTTGCCCCGAATTGCCGCCCGTTGCCGTCGTCGTTTGCCACATGCCCTGCTAGCGACGCCATCCTGGGCGGCTCAGCGGTTACGGATGGTGAACAGGAGGGGGGGTGCACAATTGGTGCTTGACATGTTAAGGCCGGGGGCTGCAGCATGACGTTGCAATGCCACTGGACCTGGGACAACAGCCAAAAGGGAAGTTGAACTCGTGAGAGAGGTACAGATGATTTCCTTGTGATCCATCATAACGAGCCATGGGGAAGTTCTGGAATACTCCGACTCGGATATCCAGGAGACGAAACTTTCGGAAGTTAAGATGACCGAGTCGGTATGGACATTTTCCGTCCCTTTTGCATGACAGCCGAATCTCTGCCCGTGGGGCCGGGAGTTCTGGCTTCAAGTTCGTCGCAGACCGCGGCTCCAGCTGCCGCGTGCCAAGGAATCAATCTGACTCGGGTCTTGGCCAACGCAAAGCGTGAAGGGTGTTTGTTGGAGGGGGACGAGACTGGGGAGCGAGGGGGAAGCGAGGGTGGGGGACGGGGAGGGGGGGGTTCGAAGACAGAAGGCTCCCTTCGAAACATGGGAATCCCAAGGCAGTGGATGACAGCGAGTCCTCAAGATACCTACCTACAACTCCATCCATCCTCGTGTTTGAAGACAACGAGGAAGTACATAGCCGAGGGCACTCTGAAAATTTCGCGAGCACTGCAATGAACGGTGAGGACGAAGAGGCGGTCGGGTGCCGACTATATGTAAATAACCAGTTTCACGATGGCGGCTGGCGTCTGTTAGCTGCTGGACTTCGTGGCACCTCAAAACACACAAGTTACCTTACTGCCCGCTGAGGGATAAACTGATACGTGTAATTATAGCCAGCGAACAGATTGGGCGCTGATGCGTCCAATTGGGTGACGATGAAATGGTTCTTGTTACAAGAGTGACTGGAGCCTTTCGGGCTTTACCGGCCGGCAGTGCAGGGAACCTGACTGTCAGCGCGGCACAAGCAGGAGTGGCATGAGCTGTCACGGGCTGCTAGCAGCTGCAAGCTTGCCCGTTCTGGTAAAGATGCAAGAAGATGGCCCGTGCGCGGTGCTTGAGCAGCCCAGCCAGGGGCCCGGGAAGATTCGGTCGCGGTGGGCTAGTAGCGGCTGGCCCGCTGGCGCCCGCACAAAGTGAAAACTGGGCCTGCTTCCTTGTCTCCGCTGCGAAATTTTTCGTCGGCCCCCCCTTGGCAGCCCCAGACCCCCAGTCGGCTGCAGAATATATTCTCGCGAGTTCTTCCTCTTCCCCTCGTAGCAGAGCTTGGTCTTTTCTCTCCATCTCCACTCCTCTCTTTTTACAGCAAGGAAAGGAATATCACAATGGCGGAGCAACAGAAGGTCTTGGGCATGCCGGTATGTTTTGCCCCTCTCTCTCGCCCAGCACGTTGATGTCGTGGTCGTCGTTGTTGTTGTCGTCATTTCCCTGGTCGATCGGGCAGGCAGTCCAAGGGGATCGTCCATCGCGACCTCAGCCAGCCCTCGCAGGTTACGGCGCGATAGCAATCAACAACAATCATCGGGCCCTCCGATTTCATCAGTCGGTCGACAGTGATGTTCTTGATCTATCGCGGCTTGGTGACTGCGTTTGCATGTCGACTACCACCGGGAAATGCGGGGACACGACCTGACATCTTTGCTTGCTTATCGCGACATAACAACATGCTAACATCTCCCCTCTTCTACAGCCCTTCGTGGCGGACTTCTTGATGGGTGGTGTGTCTGCCGCCGTCTCGAAGACTGCTGCCGCTCCCATTGAGCGTATCAAGCTCCTCGTCCAGAACCAGGTACGTTCCAATAATTACCTCATTCTCCCATTACCGACAGGAGAAGGAAATCAACTTGGCCCCTGTGATCCGCGCATGTGGTAGCAGTCGCGGCAAGTTTATCTGGCTGTCACGTGCCATTCCTTCAACGTCGGCGATGGGAGAACGAGTATCTCTTCCACATGTTAGTCCAGGTATACTGACGACCCCCTAGGATGAGATGATCCGTGCCGGCCGTCTCGACCGCCGCTACGACGGTATCATCGACTGCTTCAAGCGCACCACCGCCGATGAGGGTGTCATGGCCTTGTGGCGTGGCAACACCGCCAACGTCATCCGTTACTTCCCTACCCAGGCCCTGAACTTCGCTTTCCGTGACAAGTTCAAGAAGATGTTCGGCTACAAGAAGGAGGTCGATGGCTACTGGAAGTGGATGGCTGGTAACCTTGCCTCCGGTGGTGCCGCTGGTGCCACTTCCCTCCTCTTCGTCTACTCCCTCGACTACGCCCGTACCCGTCTCGCCAACGATGCCAAGTCCGCCAAGAAGGGTGGTGAGCGTCAGTTCAACGGTCTCGTCGATGTCTACCGCAAGACCATCGCTTCCGATGGTATTGCCGGTCTCTACCGTGGTTTCGGTCCCTCCGTCGCTGGTATCGTCGTCTACCGTGGTCTCTACTTCGGTCTCTACGACTCCATCAAGCCCGTCCTCCTTGTCGGTGACCTCAAGAACAACTTCCTTGCCTCTTTCGCTCTCGGCTGGTGCGTCACCACCGCCGCTGGTATCGCCTCTTACCCTCTTGACACCATCCGTCGTCGCATGATGATGACCTCCGGTGAGGCCGTCAAGTACAAGTCTTCCTTCGATGCCGCTTCCCAGATCGTTGCCAAGGAGGGTGTCAAGTCTCTCTTCAAGGGTGCTGGTGCCAACATTCTCCGTGGTGTCGCCGGTGCTGGTGTCCTCTCCATCTACGACCAGCTCCAGGTCCTCCTCTTCGGCAAGGCCTTCAAGGGTGGTTCCGGTTAAATTTCCCAACCTCAATGTGCTAAACTATGAAGTTGAGGAGATGACCCTTTTTGGGGATGGAGATCAAACCGTTTCTCTTCGGGATCTATCTCTGACGGAGGGTTTCGAAAAGGTTCCGACGATGGACTCAAGCGTTGAGCCATTGTCCGGTTGAGGAGGAGGTTTCGCGGGCTACATACCGATTCCCCGCTGTAATACAAGATCCTTAGCTGTTTTCCCATGTGTATTCTCCTTTGCCTTTGGCAACATCATCTTTCCGCCGTTTCCTTTGCATGCGTCTCTTAGATCCCCTTTGACGATAGGTAGTTTGGCGAATTCATGGGTTTCCTTTCCGAACTTCGTTTATCAAGTCAGTGAAGTGATTGCGCACCGCCTTCGAATGCGTGAAATGCATACGAACATGTGAACATGTGAACATCGATGTAGATTTCGGTCTTGGGGTCTCCGACTCTGACGGGCCAGTTACGTAAATACGATTTGGGGTATCTTTGTCGCGTCGCGTCTCCAGGCGATTGGACTTCCAACCACCAAACATCATCCGAATGCACTCTCTTGACTTGCGATAGCTTTGCGCTCCCAGCTTTAGTTTCATCACTGCCCTCTTAACCATTTACGCCGGTTCCTATTATCAAATCTGGCGCCTTTAGAGCAGAATCGGAAATAAGCGACGGATCAGTTGCAATGCCTCCCAAATCTACCTCCACGGCCTCCAGCAGCCGGCGCGGCAAGCCTTCCATTTCCCGCAGTCGCATTTGGTTCAATTCCGCTTCCAACACCCATCCGAAAGCTAACATGACCTTTACAGCTCCCGCCGGCGCCAAACGTGGCTCTACCTCAGCAGACCCCTCCTCCTCGAAGCGACGCCGCGAAACAACGGACACAATCGAGCTCGCTTCCGTCCAAGACGACGAAGATCTGGACATGTTTCCTCACAGCGAAATCAACAATGACGTTACCATGCTCGGCTCAGATGAGGTAGAAGATGAAGAGCAACCGGAGACGGACACGAATGGGCTCCAGCGACGACGACAGATGCAGCGTAACAACCGAAATGACTCGGAAGACGCTGACGACTCAGACCGGTACCAGCCACAGCAGGAGTCAGATGCTGAAGAGCAACAAGAGGAAGCAGAGGAGGACTCGGACGAAGAGGAACGGCCCACGGTCCCCTCGGAGCTGTTGACGAGGTTATTGTACGAGTTCTTCGAGAGCGACAAGACCAAGATAACGAAGGATGCGAACGAAGCGGTGGCGCGCTATGTGGATATCTTTGTGAGGGAGGCGATCGCAAGGAGTGTGGTGGAGAGGGAGGGAGGGAATGGGACCACTTCGGGAGGGGGAGGCTTCTTGGAGGTGGAGGATTTGGAGAAGATTGCGCCTCAGTTGTTGTTGGATCTTTGATCGTGCCGTTGATGGGAGAGGTGAGGGAGGGTTTATGCCTCCTACTCCATGTGGGCACATGGCAAGCTCAGCTCGACCGACAGTATGACTATGGTATCGGCATCTGACGGAGCTCCATCTGCGCACTTATCAAGCTACGTCTGTCAGAAGGAGGTTGCGGAACGCTCATTGTGCCTGGCGTGGACCCTTTGCCGTACAACGCCGGTTCACGATACTAAACAATGGCACAAACAAGCCGAAGGTCAAGAAAGGGATTGGAGAGCAGCGAGTGTAAGCTGTACGGCTCAAGATCGAAGACATTTACGGCCATTCGCCATTTTAGATGGCAAGTGTGATAGAGAGGAGTCCAGAACAATGCTTGTTTGTTCACTAGACGTAGGACCTGGTAGAAGTAACTTGATAGTCGACGATGACAGATGGCTGATGTACAATATGCAGGGCAGGCTCGCAATTTCCAATGTTCGGAACAACTTCAATAGCCATGTGGTTTTCCATCGTCCTTTCCAACCCTATCAGCTTTCCGCCTTCACTGTGTACGAAGGAAGGGAGAAAGGTCTAGACCGTCTAATCACCGAGACCCCCAAGCTCAGACCCCGTCTTAGCTCTGATATCACGACTGATGCTAATTCGTCCCAACGCCCAACTTTGGCACTTTGACATTTCCGACATCGGCCCTCGGATCGATGAGATCCAGCAAGGGAAGATCTAGAAGGTTAACCGAGTCGTGGAGGTAGTGAAACCGGATCCGTGTATCAGATGCGTCGCAGATCTCATTGGCGATGGTCGGTTGCCGGCTGTGCTCTGACCCCTGGTCACAGACGGCCCCTGGCGCTTAGTAGCAGGGATCCAAACCTTAATTCGGCTTTGCTCTTTGTCTTTGCTTGGCTTCCAGATTTCGGTATCGCGAAGACTGAGTAATTGAGATGGGGATAATGGACTTTGGCTTCATGGAGTGATTCAGACGGGTGGGCAGGTGGCAAGGTGTCGCAGAGATATCAAGATCTTCACAAACTTCAACCGAACCCAATTCAGCAGAAGGATCTTCAGTTCGCAAAGCAGACAAGTGACAACTTTCGTTTCATTCTCTCCCCAGTGTTGTTCCACTTTCCTTCGTTACAGTCCAGTCATGGAGGCATTCAGGCGCATTCTTTACAAGACCCAATTCACCTATCACTCTATTCTCTATAGATGCCGGTACGAGCTTTACCATCGTACACGCTTCACAAGGTTGGGTAGAAATCCAACCTATCTCAAGTTCGCTACAGCCATCGTTTTCGTTTCGACTTCTGGGGCTATACCGAGGTGCCTTGATTAAGAGGCACCTTGCCGAAACGAAGTTTTGAGGGGGATAAGCTAGCTTTTTCAAAAAGCGATACTCTTTTTGCTATAGTCAACAGCTGGTGTTTTTGGTGTAAGTATATCCCCAGCTGATATGGCCCCGTTCCTGCCCCGGAAACTCCAAACACCGTGATGTTTCAATACCACACTCCGTCTTGGCTACTATGGAGCCCAGTACGGATCCTCTACCCCAGAATGTCAACTCCCTCTGTCGATGAAACCTAACATGTTGCTAACCATGGTAAGACATGGATATCTCTAGGCTCCATCGACATCAGAGCGATTCATAAAAAATTTTGGGCCTGGACAGTTGACTTATATCCTCACGATACCCTCCCCATCTCTTTCCCGGGCTTTTCTTTTCGTCATCGTCTTCCATATCCACCATCACAACCCACAACACGGGTCGTTTCTTTTCTTTTCTCTTCTCTCTTCCTTTCTTTCTCCGCCGTCGTTCGGTCTTTACCTTTCGAATCGGCCAGGCTGGTCCTACTCACTACCTCTTTCGGTCTTCGACAATAATACAGCGCCAGTCGCTTTCACATCTTACCACCATACTCCCTTTCATTTAACCCGACAACGACGACAACGACGACAAACCGCTAGACGGACGACGGTCTTTCAAGTTCAGTTCTCTTTTTCCAGATCTTCAAATACAAACACACATACACTCAACACAACAACAACCGCAAAAATGCATTACACCAACCTCCTCTTCGCCGGGCTCGCCACCCTCTCATCAACCATGACAGTCACCGCCCAAAAAACCCACGTCGTCTCTGTTGGCTACAACGGCACCCTCGTCTTCTCCCCCAACAAGATCTCGGCCGAGCCGGGTGAAGCCATCCAGTTCCAGTTCGTGGCCGGCAACCACACGGTCACGCAATCGACCTTTGACAACCCCTGCCAGCCTATTGCGATGCACAGCAACGTAACAGGGATAAACTCGGGCTTCATGCCTGTTGCCGCAGGCTTAGCAGCAGCATCAGCAAAAGACGGCAAGAGCATGAATGGTACCACCTCTGGACATGGAGGTAATGTGCCGGTGTACACGGTGATGGTGAAGAACAAGAACCCGATGTGGTTGTATTGTGCGCAGGGGAAGCATTGTCAGAATGGGATGGTGATGGTTGTTAATGAAAAGTGAGTATCCCTGTTTGACTTGTGCGTTTGTGGGTAGAGGCATGAATGAATGAATGAAGGACTAACAGAGAAATTAGCCCATCTTCCAACGCCACCAAGTCACTACAGAACTACAAGGCCCTCGCAGCCAAGGCCACTACCATCGTCCCCTCTGGTTCTGGCTCTGGCTCTGACTCCGGTTCTGGCTCTGGCTCTGGCTCCGGTTCTGGCTCTGGCTCCGGTTCTGGCTCTGGCTCCGGTTCTGGCTCTGGCTCCGGTTCTGGTTCTGGTTCCGGTTCCGGCAGTGACTCTGGCTCGGGCTCAGGCTCAGGTTCCGGCAGTGACTCTGGCTCGGGCTCTGGCTCGGGCACTGGCAGTGGTACTGGCTCTGGTTCTACCAATGGCAGCACTACTACCGACCCAAGCAGCGGAACCACCCCGTCCAACTCGACGAGTCCTAGTGGCTCTTCCACCGCTGTGCCAGTGACTGCTGGTGCGGGTGTTCTCTCTGCTGCTGGAACTACGAGCATGTTTGCGCTTGTCGCTGGTGGTGCTGTTGCTTTCTTGTTCCTCTAGTTCACGAAAGTGGAGCAAGGTGGAGAGGTTGAATTGACGATGAAATCCTCGAGTTGGACTGTACGATGTTTTAAGAAGGGTAACTGACTTTCTCGGTTTCGGCGCGCTGGCCCATGTTTCTTTGTCAGCGACGTTGTTATTTTTTCTTTCTTTTGGGTTTAGAGCCGGGCACTAGATTGCTGCGAGCGTGGAATTGTTGGTTGGGTAGAGGTAGATATTGCATGAAATCGAGTGTCATGATCCTCTGGTATTTTGTTCTGTTCGATGTTCAAACTGTTCAGACTGTACTTTGATCCATTGGTAGGTACCTGCTAGACTTGTCATTGTCAAGAGAGATAATCAATATTGACGCAGAGTTCCTTGGGTAAGAAATTAATTTGTTCTGTTTTCCATACCATTACCACCATCCTCAGGAGTCATCTCCTAGTGCTTCTTCTTTTCCTCCTCCGGCGGTGACCTAGGCGTCCTGCCCCTCCCCGCCGCCTCACACAGCTTGGGCACTGGTTCCTTCTTCAACCAGTCCTTGTCTCTCTTGACATAGCCCACGAACCTGTACTTCTTGCTCTTCCCGAAGAAGTTGGCCCAGTGCTTCAAGGCATCGTTGACCTTTTTCAGGGCCTCCTCCATTTCTTTCCTCTTTAACTGCTTTAGTTCTTCTGGGGTCCAGTACTTGTTGTCCACGGCAGGGTCGTCGAGAGGAAGGAACATTTCCTCGACACCGCGCATGTCGGGGGTGCGGTCCTCGGCGAAGCAGCCGGTGACGTAAGCGCGCGAAGCGTCAACGCCGGCAAAGACGTGGTAGGAACCGCCCGGACCGTAGGTGCGTCGGTTGGCGGAGACGTCATAGATGGTGCCGTTGATTGCGAGATAAATGGGTTTGGATTCATCGGTGCCATCGAAGGCGGCGAGTTCGGCCGGGGTGAGGTAGATGGGGCCGCGCTACGTCACCGCCTTGTCAGCTGGTGCTGGTGGACCAGCGGCTGGAGAAGGGAAGCATCGATCGAAGGACGTACCAATTGAGACTTCCACCATTCTAACTGGAGATAGTTGGGCGGGTGAGACATGCCCCAGAAGAAGGACTCGCCATTGGAGATGAGGTAGCTGAGACCGCAAGAGGCCAGGAAGAGGAAGGAAATGACACGGAGGATGTCGAGGAGCCAGGGGTTGGATTCGTCTTCGTCTTCGATTCGGCGTTTGGGAGCTTTCTTTTTCTTGCCGCCATTTCGGGATTCGGAGTGGGGAGGAAAGCCGGGGCGGATGATCTCTTCGACATCGGAGTCTTCGGTAGCTGAGGCCGTATCGTGACCGGGCTCGTTGGTGGCAGGTGTCTTGGATTCGGGCTTGCGCCGGCGGACGGTGTCGGTATCGGCCATGTTGACGATAGTATGGCTACCTAGTGATATGTGAACATGCAAAGAAGAAGAAGACCAAGGGAAACAGCAATGGAATGGAACAGGTGGTAATTAATGCAATGAACAGATCGATGTTGCGAGGCCTGGAGAATGGAAGGGTGGAAAGGAAGGAAGCTTCCGTTTCCCTTTCCAAGCTCCCGTCTCCGGGCTAAAGTCCCCTGTTCCCGATGGACATGTCATCTCGGTCGTCAATTGGGCAAAATGGGATGCACAAAGGATGCAAAATGCAAGGCTGGCCAATGGCTTGAAGGCAGGCGGGGTTCCCACGTGTTTACTGCATCTGTCAAGTACTAAGCTTGAGCTCGTTACCCAGGCAACACGGCGCACCTGGAAGCCATTGCGCAGAGCTATGGACACTGTACAAGTAAACAGATTTTCTCCAATTTGCCCAAGGTCGTAAAACCAGCCAGGCTGAAGGAATACATATGTTGTGTACAAGGAGGGGCGGGCACGGGATGGAATGAATCGATCATTTCATCGAACACATCTTGTTGTTCCTTTGTCTGCATCTCCCATCTGTTCACCGAAACCCTTTTTTGTTTACAACTCAATTACATCAGAGTGTGGTGCATCTCGAGTCATTTTGTCTTCCATTTGTGAGGAGTTAACGCAGGTACTCGATGTGTGCCGATAGCACTGTGCCCTTGTGCTTCCTAACTGCTGCACTGCAGTCAGTGTTGACAGACAAACAAACCCACCCAAGACCCGAAAAATAAACCAAGCTGGGGAAAAACGACTGGCCGCCTGACGCAACCTAAATCTTTCCACAAACATCCACACTACTGCAAGGCGGAATCCAAGATCAACCCCCCGATCCGCATTTGATCTTTTCCATTGATGGTCCAAAGCCGAATGACGCAGTTTCACCTCTAGAGACCCCCGAGATACCCCCCTGCGACAAGTCGCACCGTCGAACGCGTCTTTGTCAACCAACATTGTCAACCTCCATCAACATTGCATTGTCGACATCGAGCTATTACCACCACCACCACCACCACCACCACCACCACCACCACATGCCACTTATCCTGTCGCCCATCGTATCCATTACATTGCATTGATCCCATCAATTTGCACACAACACCACCAGCCATGGAAGCGTCGTCGGGTCTTCCCGACTCGCCGAAAGAGCCCCCCGTCATAGGAGGCGGCGACGACCACAGCGTCAACCTCCTCACCATCAGCCCTCCCGATCCCCTACAGCCCATTTCCCACAACCAACAGCGCGAAGGCCCCTCCTTACTGTCGCCCAAAGACGGTCGCGACAACTCGGTTGCCGAAAAGGTCAGCCAATTCAACTCGATGGCCCTCCATGCCAAACAGCAGGAGCGCAAAACAACCGATGCCGCTCTCCAGCGAGCCGTGCTCGGGCGCGAGGAGGCAGAGGCCGAAGTGCGACGACTGCGTGAGGAGGTCAAGGTGCTGAGGCAGCAGGTTGAGGAAGGGAAGGAGAGGGAGAAAAAGGTTTCCCACAGACTGGAAGTTGTTATGGTAAGTTTGTCCATCCCTTCGCCCCACCACACTCCTTTTTCTTTGAGCAGGAACTAATCGCTTCTCAATGCCCAGGAGGACTACGGTCGCGCCAAGGAATCCCTCGCCCACACCCAAGCCATCTGGGAGAAGGAGATCCGCAAAGCGCGCAAGGAGGCCTTCAAAGCGCAGTCCGACATTGTCGAATTGCAAAAACAGCTCAAATCCACTCGCACCGCTTTGAAAACCGCCGAAACGGAACTGCACACCAGCCGAGCCGCGCAAAAGGCTGCCGAAGAAGAACTCGAGCAACAAAAGGGACGAACACAGGCGCGCGAACAGGAAGCCATCGAAGCGAGAAATGTCTTGGCCGGGCTCCAAGAACAACTGAACAAAGCGCTGGAACACATCAATACTTTGGAGATGGAAAGGGACGCGTTCAAGGCGCTAGCTAAGAGCGAGGAGCTGGCACGCATTGCGGCCGAGGGAAAGATACCACTACCGGAGTCGAAAGATGTCGAAATGGGCGGCATGGAACCACCACAACCAGAAGACGACTTCGCCGCTCTCAAGTCTTATATCCACCACACCGCCGACCTCAGCCATTCCGCGACAAGTGAATCCGAAATCGAAGAACTCAAAGAACTCTGGCAGTGGGAGAAGCAACGAGCTGATCGTGCTTTGGAGCTAATCGCTTTCATGGAAGTTGAATGCAACCTTAAAATGTGCGCCGGCGCCCGGGCGGCTTCCAAGAGGCCAAGTATCGGGGGCATGGACGGTGCGAAAAGGAAGTGGTCGGAAATCAGCCCTCACAAAGTCACGGATGCGGGTGATCTGGTGATTCTTAGGGACGCTTCACCATCACCCTGCGGGGACAAGGTCTCGCCTCCGTCGGCTAAGAGGACGAAGACTGAGCAGCTCAGGGCCGAAAGTGCAAAGAAGTCGGGGCAGAAAAGCAAAGTCTTTTTACCAGAGCAGGGGATCTTCCGTACCGTATCACAGGAGGAGTTGGACAAGCTACAAGTACCCGCCGTGCCCGTTAACGGCGCGAAAGAGCGTGAAGGCCTCTACAAGCGACAACGACACCAGCGGACAACCGATCAGTCCTCACGCATGGCGGATTCCCGAATGGGCGAGTCACAAGCTTGGTCGGAGATGCAGGATAGTGTCATGTCGAGACATCGAAGGACACCGGATAGTGACGGTGTGCCCGACTATGTGCTGGACTCGGAGAGGGCGTCGTTGCAGAGTTTGTTGACGGCGCCACACAAGCGGTATGCCGAGTCAATCAGCAGCGATGTGATGGGGAACATTCCTACGATACCAGCCTCCTCGGTCATCAGCTCCGTCATGTCTGGATCGGTACAAACCATTACTGCCTCGACCGCTACGGCTACCACTAGCATCCAGCAAAGCCATCTCAACTGGGAAGAACCCGTGCTTCATAGCAACAGTCAAGAACAAAAAGAAAACGTACCACCCCCTCAACCAAGGGAGAACGAGGGAGCAGAAGGGGATAGGGCTAACTCCCGCTCCAGCCACGATAGCCAGAAGTCACAGCCGCAACCACCTAACCACACTCCGGGGCCCGCCTCACGACATATCGATCACCTCTCCGAGTCTAAGCTAGGCTACTCGCCCTCCAGCCTAGCGCACGCATCGATGTTTGGATCTACCATGAACTCAAGCACCATCACGACCAAGGTTCCTCTCAAGGAGGCGTCTACCAATGCAGACCTTGGCATGATATTCAGAACCCCTTCGAAGGGAAGCGTCGCTAGCGCCACCAGCGAAAACGCAATGGACATTGACGGCGACATCAACATCACCAAATCGCGGTCGGAATCGAGGGGTGAACTCCCTGTATCCCGGGAAGAAGCCCTGGCCATGATCCGCGAGCGCCGCGAACGCGGCCGAAGTCGTGAGATCAAATCCCGACCTCAATCCCCCGAGAAGCGACCCCTCTCGCCAGTAAAACGTCCCGCCTCGCCCGAAAAACAGCGGCCAGACAGCCCCGAGAAGCGGGACAGAGACCGGGACCCCACCCCCAAGAAACGAGACGCGTCACCAAACAAGTCGGGGCGCGCTCCATCGCCGAACAAGAGACCCGAGTCCCCCAGCAAGCGCGCGCCCTCCCCGAACAAGCAGAGGAACGCTTCACCTACCAGACGACCACTATCGCCGAGCAAGCGCACACGGTCGCCGAGCAAGGCCAGGGTCATCAGCAATGACTTGAGCTATGCCGGTGTGCTTAAGAAGAGCACCGACGTGATGACGACGCCTGGCGAAGGGACTAGGAGCTTTAGTGCGCCAACGGCGGCTACGGAGGCGAGGGCGGCAGGGAAGGAGAATCAGAGAGGTTTAAAGTCTTAGTGGGACATTGGAATCGCGAAGCTGACTCCGGGGAGGAAGGGGAGGAGGAGTGGGTGGTGATATTGGTTTTGAGGGGTGACGAGTACGATGAAGATGATGGGAATTGTATAAGGAAGAGGAGGTAACATGCGAAAAAGTTTGTATACCCACTACACTCGCTCTCTCGGGTCGTGGCCTGTTAGCAGCACAAAGGCACAAAAAGCTGGCAGTGCTGGATAATGTCGACTATCATTGTACATGGAATTAAGTATCAAGTTGCATCAAAAAGTGGATGGAAGGAAGGGATGGGACTACCTGGATACCTGGATACCCAACATCAGGCTGGATACGGGCTGGAATACCTCTAGGATTGTTTGCAATGGGCACAGGTTGGATTGAGTTGGCTTTATGTTGGCTTGGAAGGCGGCACTCCGTTTTGCGCCTTTCTATTCTTTTCTTCAGTTCGTCCTATTAGTGACTGGACTTTATTTTGTATTTATGTAGTCTGGTCGGATGGCGTGTAAGCGCCTTTCCACCTCTACCTTCTATGTTCTTCTTTTTGAAGATGAACTTCACAACGGTCATTGAAATATACTTGACGCACTATCTTGTATCACTTGTTCGTTCCCTCATTCAAACGTGGTGTTTCTGTTGAAATTGCAGAAGACAAAGGAGAGAAAGGGAGGCAACAAGGTAGAGGTAGGAATGCACCATGGGAATCAAAATTGGATACATAGAGGTATTCTTCAATGGCATAAATTGAAATTGAAGGTATCAAATGGTACAGTACGAGGTCATGAAGTTGCACCAAGTTAGATCCCTCAAGTCTTAATACGACGCCACGAAGTGTTCTGACTTGATGATACCAAATCGACTGAGTATATGGCGGAGTTAGTTTAGTGGTAATCATACTCCATTCCTTATAGTTGGGTTCATTTTTTTGACGTGACATATTTGAATAATTTTTCTTCTTTTCCTTGTTTTTCTTCCCTTTGAGAGCACAATAAGTACGACCATTCATAACCATTGAAATATACATATATATATATATTGTTAAAAATAATTTTCAGCCAAGAAAAGGAGGGAGAGTCGCAGAGCGAAGATGTTGGAGTGATGGCTATGAAGTTGCTAACTTTGTTTATATTTTCGATATGGGGATCAACTCAGCCATAAAGTCTAGACCAGCATCTAAACAGAGGGGGAGTAATAGCGAAATCATGTGCGATGATCATTACAGCCACAAATTTTCTGTCCTTAACAGATACATACTCTTCAACATCGTCCTTATGCACCAACATCTCAACCCTTCTCCCCTCTTGTCACCCTCCTCCGCTTGCTTGGATTACCATTGCTCCCACCAGCAGTTTCAGTCTCAGTCGCCGTCCCTTCTCCATCCGCTTCCTCATCAACCTTCCCATCCACTTGTGCCTCCTCCTCCTTATCGCCGATCATTGATACATCACCATCCTTGTCTTTCTCCTTATCACCGTCACCACTAGGCTTATCCTTTTCCTTCTGCTCTTCTTCAGCCTTCTCACCCCCCTTACTCGCCTGCCTGGAATGATTCTGACTTCCATTCACCGACGGCATCTTCTGCAGCGTCCCGTCCTCCATCATCGACTTGACCCTCCCATCCTCCGCAACCCTCAAGTCCGCCAACAGCGAATCGGCCTCGGAAAACATTGCCCTCGCATCTTTTACCACGCCGAACTCGTCCACCTTGTATCCCAGCACATCCCCTGGATGACCGTGGCCGTGCCCACCTGCCTGATTGTTATCATCAGTCCTTTCCTCTCTTTCCGCTAGGAAGGAACTCCCAGGTCCGTGCCAGCGATCTGGGTTGTACATGATGGCGTTGCTAAACATGTGCGCCAGCTCGCGGTCCAGCTGGGCCGTGTTGATGATGCCCCTGGGGGGGACGAGCTCTTCCATTTGCGGCAGCCAGACCAGCATATGTCCCGGGTCTCCACCCGGTAGGGCAGCGGCAGCTTGGGTGGCGGAACGGTTGCCGTGGGCGATGGCGGCCCGGATGGATTTAAGGTCTTGAGGCTGCAGTATCACCTTATGATAACCGGGAGCGTCTTTCTCGCGGATGGGCGCCGCAAACATGTTGGCAGAGCGATGGCGAACGATTTGTTCCATGGCAGAGGCACTAACTTTGTGGAAACCGCGGCTCCAAAGGACTCTGTGTGCGTCGGGTGGTGTGGCTGACGCCGTCGCGAGTGTTTCTTGTTGGGATTTTTCGTTGGCAGGGGTTGCGTTGCCGTTGGGAGTGGCTTCGGCGGGAGTGGCAGCCGGAGTGGGTGATAGCTCATCCCGTTTACGCTTCGCCTGTCGAGCTGCTTGACGCTTACCAGCGACACTCTCGTCTGCTGTCGTATCACCCGTGTCCATTGTAGCCCGGGGCGTGTCCACCTCGTTCTTGACACTGGTGGCTGGCTCAGGCTCCTTGGCGGATTCTCTAGCAATTTCCTTCACCGTGCTGGGTTGTTCAGAAGCGGTTGGTTTATCCAGTGGCCTTGATACCTTCTGAGCTGCTTGCTGACGAGCCTGTGACGCCGGGGTAGGTTGGGGACCAACGAGAGGGATGCTTCCCCTAGCTCGAGACGTTTCATTCGTCGGCTGTCGAGCCGGAGAAGGTCTGGCTGCATCTTGCCTGGCCGTTGGCAAAACCGCAGGCTGCTGTACAGGACTAAGTGGCTCAAACGCAGGAGGCCGAATCTCATCACCGCCAGACCGGACATCAGGTAGCTTAGGGGTAGACGCACTAGCTGCAGACACCCACTTGGTGCCAGTGCCGAGACCCAGTTTTGCGGGAGGTACCAGAGTAGTAGTGACCGAAGTGATGGGGCTGAACCGGGGTCCGGAATAAGTTGTCGCGGCAGAATGCGAGCGTGGCCTGTGTTGTGGGATCGGGGGCTGTGGTTGTTGTGGTTGTTGTGGTTGTTGCTGCTGCTGCTGTTGTTGTTGTTGTTGTTGCTGTTGCGGTGGATGTGGTACATGCGGCGCATGGGTGACCGGTAGCTGAGGAGCATGAGTGATCGGGGGAATCCGCGGTGATTGAGCTTGGGTAACCTGGGGCAAGGGAGCCTGCGGTGGATGCGGTAGATGTGGCGTTGGATGAACCTGTGGTGCCCGTGGAACATGAGGTTGAGGAGCCTGTGATGCTTGGGGCACCTGAGGAACTTGGTGTGCCTGCGGCGGGTGTTGATGCGGCACTTGAGGCGGATGAGGCGCTTGCGGCGGATGTGCCTGTGGTGGATGAGAAGGCTGCGGTAGCTGAGGTGGGTATGGCGAAGGATAAGCCCTCTGTACCTCCGACTGAATAGGTGCCAAAGACGGCGACGGGGCCATAGACGTCGTAACCGGCTGGCTGAACGGCGAAGGAGCCTGTAGCGCCTGAGGTTGATGTTGAGGCGACTGCTGTTGTTGTGGCTGCAGCGGCGGAGGCGATCGTTGCTGCTGAGGAGCAGCCAACCCATGAGTAAGTCTCGGTGGAATCGCAGACGGCGATTGCGGCGGTGAAGAAACCGCAGCACCCTGCTGCAGATGCTGGGGAAGATGATATGGAGGATATGGCGAGGGATGTTGCTGGTAATTAGCCCTGGGTATTCCCGTAGCCGCATTAGAAGCCACCGGTTGCCGAACAGGACTCGGACCAGGTGAGTCGGACATGGCCCTATTAGGCGCCGGCTGCAAAGGAGGAGCATAATGTTGGCCAGTCTGAGGAGGTATCAAGACCTGCGGCTTCATAGGTGGCGGCTGGGGTGGCCTTGTTACCACTGGATGTTGCTGTACCTGCTGAGGTGGCGGATGCGAAGGCAGCCTAGGCGAGTGCAGCGGCTGGGCAGGTTGTGATACAGGGCTGTAATGGGGATGTTGCTGTCCAGGGCCCAAGATAGAACGATGGCCAGCTTGTGGTTGATATGGAGGCTCCCATTTGAGTTGCCCACCCTGTGCCTGTCCAGGGATCAGTGGCTGTGGCTGAGGGAGAGTAGTTGCAGGGTGATGAGCAGTCTGAAGAACCGGAGACTGTCTCGAAGGTCCTGCAATGCTGTCTAGTCGTGGCAGTCCTCCGGTAGGAGTCGAAGGCTTGGGTGGCTGAGGTGGCTGAGGAGGCGCCTGGGAGAACGAAGCTGGGGGTTGAAGGACATGCGGTATCCCACTACCGGCAGTCATAGGCCTTGGAGAACCAGGACCGGACGTAATCGGACCCCGAGGAATGTTGTGATGTCCCAACCGCGGAGAGCTCACCAGCTGTGGCTGCAATGCTGCCGTTGTAGTCGGGGGTAGAGTCGGAGGCAGCGTAGTAGGAGGCAACGGTGCGGGACTCGACCTGACTGGCGGTAGCTGAGTCGTGGGAGACGGCACGCTCGCATGACGAGCGACTTCGGGCCGTGGCGGTATATGAGCGGATACCTGGGGCGGTAGCTGCGGTGGAATCGGCGGCGGCGGCGGCGGCGGGGGAGGAGGAGGAGGAGGAGGAGGAGGAGTAGGTATCGGTAGCTGGGGAGTCGAAGGAGTACGGGGAGACTGAGATTGCGGAGGCGGTAGTCGTGGTGAAGCGATCCGCGGTGAAGCAACTGGCGAAGGACCGTGACTGGCGCCATTAGGCAGCCTAGCCCCGGGACCCTGAACGGCAACTGGACTGGGAACCGAACCCAAAGCCGGACTTTGCTTATGTGCCACGGGACCGTCCTGAGCCGGTACACCATCTGAAATCTTTTGCCTCCTCTCCTGCTCCTCGTCCCGAGCAACTGCCTGCTCTAGCACCCGCACCTCAGTTTGAAGCCGGTCATAGTGTCTCTCGTACTGGTCAATCTCCTGGAGAGTCTGGTTGACGTATGTCTGCTCGAGTTTCCGGTAAAGGCTTTCGATCTTGGGCACATATTGATGGGCTTCCCTCAGAGTGGGCAGCGGCGGGGGCTGCAAGCGTCGCCGTTTCGAGTTCGGAGACAGATCTCCATCGGGTTTGGGGCCTGGGGTGTCGTGCTCTTGCTTCAGCTCGTCCCACAGCAGGTGGAGGAAGAGCTCCTGGAGAGGCTCGGGCCTCAGTCTCGCGGCATCGTACGAGGGAGCAAGCTTGATGAGGTGGTTCTGCTGAAGAAGGTCGGCGATGCGGTGAAAGGCCTGCTGGTCGAGACCGTGTTTAGCGATGCCGCGGAGCAGGAACAGCGATTCGAGGGGAGTGTAAGCGTCGCGGCTCGTGGTAGTCATGCCCCAGACTCCACCTCGCCGGAGATCGAGGGGACTGTCACGCCGTTGCGGAAGAAGGTGAATCGGCGCCACGATCTGGGATGGTCAGTGACTGTGTCAAGTAAAGCATCTGGTAGGTGACTAGGTAGTTGTGGTGTGGTCGCATGTCTTGAGCTTCCACTTGGGGCATTTGACCAGAGCACCAGAGAAATGCACCCCTCGAGGCTCGGGGCCGACCACTATAATCAAGCCACTAAACGCGATGCAGCGCCCCCCGCTCGCGCGTCGCACTTTGGGGGTCGCGTCTCCCACAGGCATCTTGAGTTGACATACCGGCAGCCTTTATCCAACACGCCGGGCAGCGATCTCAATTGGGGTAGGTAGATGCGAATCAGGTCGCCGCATGTGGTAATATGAAGCCGCCTTTCGGTTGCGAAGATGGCTTCTCGATGTAATGTCTGTTTGCGCGGACTCGGAAATCGATGCCGATGATTTTTTTTTTTTTTTTTGGGTGATCTTGCAAATCTCAAAATCGCTTTGGTTGGCTATCACGTGTGATCGCTCGTCTATCGGCAGTCGGATCGTGGCCTGTCGTGGTAAAGTAGTTGATCTCTTGGCTCGGGAAGGAAAAAAAAAACAAAAAAAAGGTGTGTCGCTGAATCTCGGTTCCTTGCTGCAGGCGAATGGCGGGCCGAAGGTGGTTGCGATGGTTGCGGTTGAAACTTGGAGCGGTCGTCCCCGTTGGGCTGGAGAATTGCGTGTCACTCAAGTGTCAGTCAGTGCTCGACAAATGCAACGCGGTCCAGTGCTGGGGGTTCGATCGATTGTTGCCGGGGTAAAGAGCGAGCTTGCTTCTTCAGCGATCACAAGATATTCCCAGTTTAGTGTGGATTCGGGAGCCATTTATTGTAACGCCTTGATTCTCCCACCACGTGACTCGGCTCCGAAAATCAGGCAACCAGGGGGTCCGGTTCTTATCGGCCTGGTCATAGTCTCCGCCCGGCGAGATCTCCGGGTTCGCTTGTGGGGTCTTCCCCGGGAGCCCGGGAGCATCCGGAGAGTCTGGGGATGCGCTCCGGCCCACGTTTCAGCCTTGGACGGCGCAATAAGGTGTACATTGACCCATGACTGGATCAGTACCTGCTTGTATCACCATGCATTGTCTGCTTTCATCTTGACTAAAAAAGGCCAAGCAGTTGCACTCTGAAGTTATTTTCTAAAGAAATATGTTAAATGGCGATGGACCTCACCATGTAACCTTCCTTGATGAGTTGAGATCGAATGATCTCCACCTCGTTGCCGTGATCGTCGACTGGGACACTACTTCTGTACATGAGTGGGTGGTCTATGTGACCACCAATTTTGATTTTCGTGTGGTTTCTTATTAGCTTAGCACTCATAGTACCCGAGACAAGATCTATCCGCTATCCCAACCCGTTCCAAAGCCTCACAAGGACACATCGAGACACTCATGGAGCAAACTATACCGGTATGGATGAGATGGGAAATCTTTGAAAAAGTTAAGCAGAGCTCTCGAGCTAGCAACCAAATCAGTAGTATTACCTGAACTGAGGTGTATGAGGTACCAGGGTGCCGAGTCGACTACGGTATGTGCCTTCAAGCTGTCCACGTACCCCGTAGGTTATGGGACCTCAGGAACCCGTGTTCGCGCATTTTTCGGGCATCTTTCGGGCAGAGGACTGGCGTTGAGTCTGTCATGGTGTCGGTGGTGTGGAAGTGGTGTCCGAGCATGAAAAACATGCCCTGGCAAGGGGGGCACCTGAATGGAAGGGAAGTGGGAGTTGCAGTTTGCATGCATAGGGTACCTCAAAACGGCCCCGCAGCCTCTTTTTGCAGATGTCGGGTTCGGTGCCTGCCTCGCTGCACCACTCGGTGCATAACACCAAGTTCGGTACTGGCGATATCCATGATTTAGGTTCATAAGGATTGTGGTTGAGATTTTGTAGGCAGCTAGGACGGGAGAGTAGGTCTAATCCTTCAAAGGTTGGTTCCCTTGTCCCCGCTCTTTACAATGGATGACGCTCTGGTGTCAGAATGCTAGCCTGTATGATCTGGACACCGGGATAAGTGTTTCATTTTGTGCCCCTGCCCACGTGTCTGTTTTTCTGGATTCTGGTTTTGTGTGTGTCATGTGGAAGTATCGACAGTTCACAAGCAACTGAGGTGTTCTCCGTGGTTGTAAGGTTCAACGTTGACTCCCCGGATGTTGCCCCCTTAATCTGTACGTACCCTCCATCCCCTCAATACACTCACTACAATAGCGGAGGGGAGATGAAGTCAGTAGTGGCCCTGAGCGGGTGACCAGTACCCACCGGGCAAACCGATAATCTCCATCGTAGGGCCAGTCCAAGGAGTCAAAGGGGTCCTGGTGTCGTGCATTGCCGTCCCTTCAACCACTCAGAGGAACAGAACTCCTGACCGAGTTGTTAGTGTCAGGAGATGCCCAAGAGCGGGCAAGTCAGTGACAAAATGACAGGCGCCATTCCATGTGAAATGCAGCTGGCCGCTTTTGCCAGACAGCTGGGACCCTTGCTCACCTTGTTGGAACGAAAAACATGTTAGGTACTCCGGGCGTTGTACCGCCAAGTCCCACGCTAATTAAGGGCACTGCAGACGGTGACATTAACACCGACAGGGCACATGCATCCGTTCGTATACCTTACCTACCTTTCCTTGCAATTGATTAACCATTTCCGTTTGTCTATTTCATCCTTTGACCTCCTCCTTGCCGTCCATCCTTTGTTCGCGTTCTTGCTTTCTTCCGTCCTCTCTTCTGCTATCCCATACTCGAGATATTATCATGTCTTCCACCACTGCTACCACAACCACCACCACCCATAACAACATGACCGACGAAGAGCTTGACCGCGACTGGAAGCCCAATGGCCGTCGCCCGCAATCGTGCGTTCCCAAATTCCTTATCCCCTTTCTTATTATGCGATACAGTGCCCACCCGTCATTCCATGTTCTACCCACCACGGCAAGCACGCCAAACGTCCCGCTCGGTACCTTGCATAAACCAGCCCGGCATTAAGTATCATGACGCGACGATAAGCATGGAAAGAAGCACCAAACATGACAGTGGACTAACATGGCAAACAAAATGACAGCACCATTGCGCGCAACTTCTCCCAAGAGCTGATGGACATTTTCCGCATCGACAAGGACATCACCGACCTCGACGACCAGGTCGACAAGCGGTCAGTCTCCGCCAACGCCAACGCCAAAGCCAGCGCCACGATTGACATCGATCTCGATACCCGGTTCGCATACTTCTACAGCCCCTGCTAGCACCCATTCGCTAACCCGTCTACCTTTTTGGGTGGCAACAGAAAGCAAGAAGTCGACAAAAAGACGTCTGAACTCGAAGCCCTCGAGGCGCGTATCCGTGAGATGGAGGAGAAACTCAAGAGTCAGTACCCAGCAGCTGCTGTTGGCAGCTCAGCACAGCCATCACAGATCCACACCCAGACCCAACACGTCAAGAGCAGGCCAGGGACCATGAGACAGAGCCAGCAGGCGCCAGGTTCCGGGGCGATGCCGCCTACCCCGATAGGAAGTGAAGGTGAATTGGATTCCCCGATCGAGCCCGCTAGCCCCCGAACACCAAGAGCACTCCGACCGTCTGAACAGCCATTCTTCCACGTCGCTACATGTGCTTCCTCCGGAGATGACGCAGCATCCATTATATCCATCCAAACCGTATCCGAGACCTCCAGTTATACTGACTTTGTCCTTGTGGCCCCTAATCCAGACGGTGATCGCGAGCGAGGCCACTGAGTACCTCCACACTACTTTGAATTCGAGAGATACCCCCAATGTCTCCTCAACCTTGTCGACAGCACTGAGGGTGGAGGAGGGATCGGAATTGCGCATTACAACAGATGACGACATCTACTGAGATTTGCCGGGGAGTGACAATAACCGGGAGGGTCACACGACAGCCCATGAAGCCGTTGGCGAATCCCGGAGAACCGAATCCATGATAGACGGCGAAATACGAATACCACGACACGCTATATCAGCACTACTACAATTTTAATACTTTCTTCGCCGCCGACCGGGCCAATGCCAATCCAATGCCTTTCTTCCAACGAAATGGAGACGTCCACTCTTTCTCGACTACTATGACTGCGCTTCGCTATATTCCAGGTCTTGAGGAGACCCTACTCCAGGACTGCTGTCAAGGAAGCGACAAAAGAAGGACTCTACCATTACCATGGCCCGGTTCACGGAGTTTTGGCTTTCGACCCCCAGATACCAGGACGCCATAACATTAATAATCATCCACTCGCTTGCACTTTTGCCTCTACACGAGGCCAACAACGATCGTTCTCGCTGATTTGGTGTCCTGGGGCAGGACGGTTGGATGAAGGGTTCATGGTTGGCCAAATCGCTTGGAGAAGTGGCATTTGCATGGGACGTAAGGGATTGGAGAAGGGAGAGCAGCACAAAGGATGACTGCAATGGCTCTTGGAGGGTTCACATGTCCTGTAACTACAGAGACACGACATTTGTCTAGGATTTCACGGTAGTTCAGTTGCATCTGTAGGTTGGATATATTGTACCATGTCCGGAACAGAGATTGTAACTTGAAGGGAACCATTCCCGCTCCCTTAGGTGTGTGCTATGCGCAAGGGGTTCGGTAAGGGATGACAATGGCAATATTGCCCCTGTCTCCTCTGTCTTGTGCTTCTAGACGCACGTTAAGAGAAAAGGTCAGTCACTGACAGAAATTCGTAGGTATACCTATCACGGTGCTGGCTCCATACCAATCAACAACTGGAATGGGAAGGAATTAATTCATGCTACCGGTCTAACTACGCCCGGACACTGGAAGAGGGGCTTATACCTACTTGCTGAAGATGTTAAAGGGGTCAATCGCATGAAGAACCAGGGGCGATACCAACTCTAGACACTCAAGACTCCGTCAAACGACCAAACCTTGTCTCGAGCGCAACAAACGCCTCTCATAATGCCCGAGACCTAAGGAACCTGAGCTACCGAGGAGCTACAGCTCCTTATCAGCAAAACCCACCCGTCCTCTCATATCCAGCACAACAAAGACAGCCTTAAGGAAGATGTCTCCAAGAACAGAGATATCCATGTCCATGTTGTTCTGAATACCACCCATGCATGTGGTGATCATTTTCGGCTCGTTGTCGTCCTCTTTCTCCGCCATGTCGTCCCTACCATCGCCACCAACAAACCTCTCCAAAGAAGCAGGACGCGCAGCAGTAGTGGAAGAAGAGCCTCCGTGACCCTCCTTAACCTCTATCACAGAATAGTTGAACAGCGCTCCGGGAATGGTGGCGTGCCAACCACCCTTTTCGCGGCCAAAGGCAATTTTCAGATCCGGGAGCACGGGCTCGGGCTTCATCTTCTCTTCATCACTAGAATCAGCACTAGTAGGAGGCGGACCAGACCGCGTATGAACAGGAACCTTCAAATCGCAAGGGAACGTCCAGGTGTTGTACTCGGTGCGGAACACGGCGCCGGGAACGTGGGCGTAGTAACTTTTGACGATGGCGTCGGGGAGCATGATGTTGGAAGTACCCGTGTCGATGATAGCTTCACGTGCGAGCAGGGGCTGCGTGGCTGGAACATTTGGATCTGGCAGGGAGTCGGTGGGGGTAGTTGTAGGGGGGGAGGTCGAGGATGTGGGAGTGAGTCGAGTAGAGGGCTCAGTGTCGGCGTCCTCGAGACCGCCCGCGTTCATCCACGGCGATTGGTAGGTGCTATTGGCGATGGAGAAGAAGGCGTAGGTGGTTTGCCAGTACGGGCTAGGGCTGAGGGGGTAGTAGTTGATTTCTCCCTTGTAGGGTGCTCTTCCCTTTTCCCCAGCTGTCGCGGGAATGGAAGCCGGGCTTGATCCGAAGGTGTAAGTCCCGTTGGCGTGGGTGCGCAGGTCGATGGTCATTAGAGGCTGGTCCAGTCGCTCGAAGATTTGCTCCAAGACGGTCGTCTCCGTGCCCAAGGGGTGCACATCGCTCGACATGTTGTAGGCTAGACCCATGATGCCGGAAATGGCGAGGTCTGAGGCGAGGTCGAGGCTAACTTCGAGAGCACTTTGTATGACGGCCTTGGGAAGTTCAACATTGCCCAAGCAGAGGGTGTCGTGGTACACATTTCCAGCGGCGTAGCTTCCATCCTCTATTTGTTTGCTGTGTCAGTCATCACCCAGCAGATCCACGGCTCAGAGCCAGAACGGGGAAAGATCGAAAAGGAAAGGCGCAACGTACCATAATGCGTAGCCCAAGAAGCATTAACAACCTTCTCCGCCGTTGTCGACTTGCCAATATCGTACAAGACCCGCAGCGTCTTGTTGGCGATGAAGGTCTCTGAGCTCAATAGCCATAAACTGATGGAACCGGTGTCGATATTAACGATAACCGTCTGCGGAGGAGTACCGACGGTGAGTGGGGTGAGATACTCGCGCTCTTCCCAGAAGGGGGTGGCGGGGAGACTACTGCTGGAGCCTTTGGGTTTGCCGGAAACGACCCTCTTGAGACCTAAGGGGATGGAGTCAAGGTTGATGTTGGGCAACCGAGAGAGGGAACGGTAGTAGGATGCGAGACCATGGTTCGAGGGTTGATCATGATGGGCAGAATGGAAGGCAGCGTTGTAGTGAGCCGCAAGTGAGAATGATGCCGCTGATTTCGGGTCACGGCGGGAATGATGATGTTGAGAATGAGGTAAGCCGGGCGAAACCACGGCGGCGAGGGAGTGAGCCGCGAGGAAGACGAGCGCCGAGATAAAGATGCTGAACTCCATCCTCGCTGTGTGGATTTGGGGGTTTGTTGAGGTCGAAGTTCGGGATCTGGACAAGGTTCAAGTTGGAAAGAATATTTGTAATGTTCGTGGAACTACCCCCTTTGGGTGATGATGGAAGGAACGATTCTCTTCCCACTTTCCACTTGACCTGGACAGAGGAAGTTGTAAGAAATTGAGATCTCGAGTGTGACTGCCCCCACTGTAGCTACCCTTTTATTCTAGCTACACCCGACTTGTACACGAACGCCGTTCAAGTGAACCAAGTGGTCACAGAAGCGGTCACAGAATGGAAAATATCCGATGGATTGTAAGTGACACATAATACGTGTTCGTCCAAGTTTTGATTCAATTGGCGATATCCAGTCTGCTCGCCCTTCTTCAAGCGGAGGAATCTGGTCTTCGCGGAGCGACTTTGGACTTGATACATCGGATCACATTGCGGGCAATGATAAGAGGACCGTCAGGGTTCTCACCAGTTTCGATCTCACCACCCAGTACTCTCAGGGTAGAAACAAAAAAATTGGAAAAACATCACATTATTCATGTCCTAGCGGTGAGTGATGGTAGATGGACTGAGCATGGGATGTCAGGTACCTAGGTAGGTATTTCGTGCGAACGCAAGGAAACTACTACGGAGGGGTTAGCAGGCTAATCACCTCTAGAACTAGTAAGGTAGTAGTTAAAAAGATGACGGGAAGGAGAACAACTGAAGAAGACTGAAGGAACGGTTGGGTATGGCGAACACGGCAGGGTTGAAAAGAAGAGAAAAAAAAAAAGATACCAGGAAGGCAGGAGCAGGAGATCTTTCAGAAGATACCCTGAAGGGAGGAAGGAGCGGTGGGAAGTCATCGAATGAATACCCAGGCGACATGTGAGACGGGAAAAAAAAAAAAAAAAAAAAAAGGGGGAAATGAAAAGAAAAGAAAAGGAGCAGCCCGCACCAGAATCAGCGGAAATATATCATTGTTTCCAAATGGCCGGTACGGTCCTTACTCACGAATATGCTCCAAAACATAAAGACCTTCCAATTGCACTAACGGACCACATGCTGAAGAACTTTCTTGGGCGCATTGTGATTGTACTCGATACTAGCCCAGCAACATGGTAGAAAAAGAATCTCGATCCATAGATCATAACACATTGTGTTGTGATGTGTGAGCCAGATTGGTGAGCCAGTCTCAGTGGAAGTTCGGTTCGACACGAGACGGCTACCACGAAAACTTCCGTGTACTAGTGGTCAACAGGACATCACATCCAGACAAGAAAAGATGTCACCTAAACCTTCCCACGAGTTTGTTGTACAGCTCATATTGCTGGTGTAAGAGAGGAGTGACCCCCAACTGTCCCATCTCGAAACACACATGTAGTAACACAGAAGAAGGAGCCACATCCTTCCTTCGAGAGTGTTACTCGCGGTCCAAAATGCCCGGTTAGAGGACCTAGATAAAATAGAAGAAGCACAGATGTGTGACAGTCACTCACCTGGAGTAAATGCAAAGTCTAGGGCAGTTCCGTCCCGCACTGGAATCCGGGCACCGTGAAAGTGGGTCTGTTGCCGGTAGCACGGCGGATGGACACGGACACGGACACGGGCTTGGCATCCGGAGCGGATCCTTTCAGATGTGGACACACTCTTTTCTTATTACATGACATCAGACTTGCGGAAGTCTCCGTATGGACGTATCTGCTAATCAAAGGAGAGATTAGAACAGGGCTCGACGACAACAACAGCAGCATGAATGAAACTATTGCAGATGTTTGGTGCGAACTGACTTCTTCATGGGAATCGGGGAATGTCACAACGACAAGTCAAAAAGTCGATTTGTCTCGAAGTTTCGCAGTTGCTGGGCGCCCAGAACACTTTAGTAGCTAATGATAGGCTAGTAACAGTAACACCCAACAAAGAAGAGCATCCCATTGGTCAGATCCAAGCTTCATGAGTGGATACCCGACCTCCAGCTGTCCTTTCGATAAGAACAGGTATCAATTAGTGCTGAAACATGGTATGCCTGCCGCCAGCGCTGCCCGCTACCGCTACGTACAACATAACGGCAGCTCCCCTCCGAATTCCAACCAGAAAGACAACACAGCATCTTCACCACTTGAGGCCACTTTGTTGTTCTGTCTGCAGACGGAATGCCTCTTTTAGTTCCCGCCACTCCTTGAAGAGTCTTTTATTTATTCTCATCTTTACACCTCCACACACCCGCTCGACACCCCATACCGATCGAGAACCCCCCACCGCATACACAACGCAAACACACACACAAAACGCCCACCATGGCGCGGGTGTCAACTCTATCACCCTTGAGGATCTTCCTCTCCGCCATCTTCCTCTTCTCCGCCCATGTCTTTGCAGTCTCGGCTGTTCTGGGCGTTGATCTGGGCACCGAATACATCAAGGCCGCCCTCGTCAAGCCTGGCATCCCCCTCGAAATCGTCCTGACCAAAGACTCCCGTCGTAAAGAGATCTCGGCTGTCGCCTTCAAGCCCTCCCCCAATGGCCCCAAGAAGGGCGCCTATCCCGAGCGCGAGTATGGCTCCGACGCCATGGCCATCGCCCCCCGATTCCCCGGCGACGTTTACCCGAACCTCAAGGCCATCCTTGGCCTCCCCACTGGCAGTGCCCAAGTTAGAGAATACGCCGAGAGGCACCCTTCCCTGAAATTGGAGGCGCACAAGGCAAAGGGATCTGCGGCCTTCAAGAGCGCCGGTGCTTTCACTGAAGAGGAGGAGGCTTGGCTGGTCGAGGAGTTGCTGGCCATGGAACTTCAGAGCGTTCGCGCCAATGCCGAGTCTCTTGCTGGTCCTGGTAGCTCTGTGCGCTCCGTCGTCATCACCGTCCCGCCCTTCTACACCACCGAGGAGAAGCGCGCCGTCGAGCTGTCTGCCGAATTGGCTGGTCTCAAGGTCCTCTCTCTTGTCTCTGACGGTCTCGCTGTCGGCCTCAACTATGCTACCACCCGCCAGTTCCCCAACGTTAACAAGGGCGCGAAGGCCGAGCACCACCTGGTCTTCGACATGGGCGCCGGTTCCACCAAGGCCACCGTCCTCTCAATGCAGTCGCGCACCGTCAAGGATGTCGGCAAGTTCAACAAGACTGTCCAGGAGGTTTCTGTCCTCGGCAGTGGCTGGGACCGCACTCTCGGCGGTGACGCCCTCAACTATCTTATCGTTGACGACATGATCCGCCAATTCGTCGAGTCGCCCACGGCGAAAAAGGCCGGCGTCACCCTCGAGGCCGTCAAATCCCACGGCCGCACCATCGCCAAGCTGACCAAGGAGGCTGAGCGCCTGAGACACGTCCTCTCCGCCAACCAGAACACTCAGGCCTCTTTTGAGGGCTTGTATGATGATGTCGACTTCAAGTACAAGATCACTCGCGCCGAGTTTGAAGAGATGGCGGCCACCCACGCCCAGCGCGTCAGCGCCGCGGTGAAAAATGCTCTTAGCATGGCCAGTCTGCAAATCAAGGATCTCGACTCTGTTATCCTCCACGGCGGTGCCACGCGCACCCCCTTCGTCCAGAAAGAGCTTGAGAGCTTCCTTGGAGGAGCCGACAAGATCCGCACCAACGTCAACTCGGACGAAGCCGCCGTTTTCGGTGCTGGTTTCCGCGCTGCTGAGCTTTCACCCAGCTTTAGGGTAAAGGAGATCAAGATCACCGATATTGCCTATTACCCCGCCGGAATGAGGTGGAAGAATGACGAGGGAAAGCCCAAGCACCAGCGTCTGTGGACCGCCACCTCGCCATTGGGAGCGCCCGCGAAGGAGGTCACCTTCAACAATGTCCAGGACTTGTCCGTCAGCTTCTACCAGTTGGTGGACGGTGCCGAACTTGACACCAAGGTGTTCACCACCAAGAACTTGACTGCCTCCGTGGAGGCGTTGGTGGAAAAGCACAAGTGCGAAAAGGCCGATATCAAGTTCAAGGTTGGCGTTCGTCTTCTCAGCGAGAACGGCGAAGTTGATGTCACCAAGGCCGCCGTTGAGTGCGAAGCTGATGAGCCGGAGAAGGACGGTTTTGTCGACGGTGTCAAGAACCTCTTTGGTTTTGGCAAGAAGGACAAGACTGAGGGCGAAGAGGATTCTGCTTCTGCGTCCACCGAATCATCTACTAGCACCTCTTTTTCGGCCGCTGCATCCGCCTCTGCCGAGACCAAGCCCAGTGAGCCCAAGAAGAAGCAACTCGTTCAGATTAATGTTGATTTCACCCTCACCCCCACTGGCCCCACCTCTCTCCTTTCCAAGGCCTCCATCCAAGCCCTCAAGGACCGTCTCAAGTCTTTCGCCGCCTCCGACCGCACCCGCCAACTCCGCGAGGAAGCGCTTAACCAGCTCGAAGCCTACACTTACAAGATCAGCGACATCTTGGACCGCGAGTCTTTCATTGCGCACTCCACCGCTTCCGAGCGTGAGGCTCTTCAGCAAAAGAAGGACGATGTCAGCGACTGGCTCTACGGCGACGGCGCCGATGCCACTCGCGAGGAATTCAAGGCCAAGCTTAATGCGCTCCAAAACATTGTTGACCCCGTCCTTAAGAGGGCAGAGGAAGCGGAGAAGAGGCCTGAAATTCTCAAGGGACTACAGGATGCTCTCGACAACACCAACAAATTCGTCAAGGACATCAGGGAAAAGATTGATGCGTACGATGCCTTCCACGCTTCCGCCTCCGCTAGCGCCTCCGCTTCGTCGTCGATTGCTACCTCTTCCTTCTCTACCACAGCCCCGGCTTCTTCCGCTACCGGCGATTTCGACGGCCTAGAAGACGATGCCTCCACCACCACCGCCACCCGCGAGGACCCCATGAAGTTTTTGGAGAAGGAACTTGGTCCCGTTCCCCCTCTTTACACCCTCGAGGACCTCAAGGAATCTGAGGATTTGTATACTTCCATCTCCACCTGGCTGAAGTCGAAGATTGCTGAGCAGGAGAAGTTGGGACCCACTGATGACCCTGTATTGACCGTCAAGGACCTTTTGGAGAGAAGGGAGAAGTTGGATAAGGCGGGTATGGCGTTGGCCATGAAGGGGGTAAAGAACTTTGAGAAGACGCAGGCGAAGGGCAAGGGCGGAAAGACGAATGGAAAGGCCAAGGCGTCTGGAAGTAAGGCGGGCGGCAAGAAGAATGGAAAGGGCACCAAGGCGGGTGAAAAGCCGGCCAAGGAAACGGTCAGTGATGAGGAAATTGAGGAGATGTTGAGAAAGGTTATGGCGGATGAGAAGGCCAAGGAGGAGGCCAAGGCTCAAAAGGGAGAGAAGGAGAGCAAGGAGGAGCCGGTCAAGCATGAGGAACTTTAAAATGGGGCATGATGCAGGTGATGTGTGTGTTTTAGCAGCAAAGCGTGTTCTGGCGTTTACAGATCCATGGATTGATCAACGTGATTATAGGGATTGCAATGTTGGCGTCAATCTATACCTAGATATTTACAGATGTTACAAAAACGAATTACTGCTTTCCAGGTGGTCTTTTCCACTGCCGTCGAGCTTCATGCCCGTGGTTCATGATCGCAAGTTGCATGTACTGAATCCTGTTCAAAACGGGGGTGTTTAGAAATCTCTGAATTACCCGGACATCAACTGTCACGGCACAGAACTTACTCGAAGAACTAAGTACCCAGTAATCCTACAAAGTGCGGCTGGTTCAAACCGACGGGACCGGCAGTTGGTGTTATTGAGAGTGGTGTGTCGTTTTGTGACAAGCAGGAGGACAAGTCCTACCTAATCTACTTTGCAAATTGGTTAGATGTTGGAGCTTTCCCGCTGAAGACGCGCTAAAGACCCGCTGTTAGTTCTGCCTGCCGGATGAGGTGCCCCCGCATACTCCAAGCGTCATTGGACTTTCGTCGACGGCCATCCCGTCGTTCTTCCTTCCTCCATCACCCCCACCAATAATCTTCTCCCCATCTTTTCAGGTTTTCTCTGTGAAAAACAAGCCAAAAGAGCCATCGATACCTAAATGAAAATGAATAATTCTATCTCCTGAACGGTCCTTATCAGCATGCCCGCTCGTCATTTTCAGCCGTCGGCTGTCGCCCGGCGCAGCTCTTCGCTTCTTGAACCAATCATGATGCGTACCGAACCATCGTCGATGCTTTGCATGGCACGATTTTGACTGTTCTGGTAGTCGAGGCCTGAAGTCGGGCAAGAGTTCATGTGGCTCTTGCTGACATCTCAGCCTCATGGTCATATTTTTTTCATCATAATTATCATCATCATCCTCGACTCCAGCCAGTCCTTTGATCCCTCTTCTTCATTCTTACCTATCTTTGTTCTCCGTCTCATCGCACCTAGACAACAATAGTACCTAGATATTCCCACCCGATAGCACTTCAAGACCAAAGTTCTCATTCTCTGTCAACTTCCACATCTTCAACCCGACCACCCAAAACCTCGAAATGGGTGACAACTTCCAACCTCCATCCCCAGCCCCGGCTCAAGCTCCGGAACCGCAACAGAAGCCTACCCCCCAAAACGCCACCCTCCTCCAGGCCTTCGAATGGTACACCCCCCCTGATCACGCCCACTTCCTCCGTCTGTCTTCTCAGATCCCTCAACTCTCCCAGCATGGAATCTCTTCCCTTTGGATCCCACCCTCCTGCAGAGCCACCTCACCTCAGTCCAACGGCTACGACATCTATGACCTCTATGATTTAGGCGAGTTCGATCAGAAGGGTTCCGTGGCCACCAAGTGGGGGACCAAGGCTCAACTGCTGGAGCTGGCCCGGAATGGTAAAGAGTACGGCGTAGGACTCTACTGGGATGCGGTCCTCAACCATCGGTTTGGCGCTGACCACCGCGAGCGGTGCAAGGCTGTTGAAGTGGATGCCAACGATCGGAGGGTGAGAGTAAGTGGGGAGTACGAGATCGACGCCTGGGTGGGCTTTGACTTCCCTGGTCGCGGAGACCAAGAGAGCACGATGAAATACCACTGGTACCACTTCTCCGGTGTCGACTTCAACGCCGACGATCCGGGCAAGGCGGGGACTATCTACCAGATTTTGGGGGAGCAAAGCCAAGGGTGGGCCAAGAGTCCTGAGGATGTCGATGGTGAAAAGGGCAATTATGATTATCTGATGGGGTGTGATGTGGATTACAGTCATCCGGAGGTGGTGGACGATGTGCTGAACTGGGGACGGTGGTTGGCAAAAGAGGTCTCAATCAAGGGAATCAGATTTGATGCCGTCAAGCATTTCAGTGAGAGTTTCCTAAAGAAATTCGTGAAAATGCTTGATGGAGAATTTGGTGAGGGGTGGTTCTTGGTGGGCGAGTTTTGGAAGGATTCTTTACAGAGCATGGTATGTTGTTGCTGAACTTGTCGACAGTGGCGTAGCTGTATCACTAACTTGTGATAGACTGATTATCTCGACCGGATGGACCACAAGTTCTCGCTGTTTGATGCACCCTTGGTTTACAACTTTGGTGAAATCAGCACGAGTGTCTCTGCTGATCTGAGGAAGGTGTTTGACGACACGCTGGTGCAAAAAGCTCCCGTCTGCGCTGTGGCATGTTCTCCTTTTCTCTTCTTCACTCTCCGTCTTTGCTCCCTTTTCCTTTCTTGCCTCTATATTCTTACATCCTCTGATCTTCCATGTGTCATCTCCACGACCTCGCTATTTACTTCTAGTTCCACCCTTCTCTTATGTCCCACCCTTCCGAACCTACCTTCCTCATCCTTCCCAACAAAACACAACATCCGCTAACAGCACCCTGTAACAGACACTCGTTCAAAATCACGACACCCAACCGCTCCAAGCTCTCCACGTCCCCATAACTCCCTGGTTCCTCCCCCTCGGCTACGCCCTCATTCTCCTCCGTGAAGCCGGCTACCCCTGTGTCTTCTACGGCGACCTGTACGGTCTTTGCACCCCTACGTCTGATAACCCGTCTCCCACCAGACCAACCAGCGGTCCTGTAACTATCATCCCTAAGCTTCTTCTGGCCAGAAAGCTATATGCGTATGGACTGCAGACGGACTATTTTGACTATTCCACCTGCATCGGCTGGGTCCGGCACGGGACGTGGGACAGAAAGGACAAATGCGCGGTGGTGATGAGTAATGCGGGAGAGGGGTGGAAGTGGATGTTTGTGGGCGTGGAGTGCGCTGGCCAACAGTGGACGGATGTGTTGGAGTGGAGGGAGGAGGTGGTCACGATAGGGGAAAACGGATGGGCGGAGTTCAGATGTGGTGGTTGTAGTGTGAGTGTTTGGGTTTGGGAGGGGGCGAAGGGCAGGGACGAGTTTGAGACTCAGTTTGACTTCGACATATATGCTGCCTCTACTGCCAAGTGATGTGAGGGACTGCAAACTTGGGGTGCCTCTAGTGGAAAGGGTGAGACGGTAATCAATGAAAGGATATCGGAGAAAGGGCGATGGGATGAATGGGGAGGATGTCAAACAACAAATCCTGAAGGACAGGAGTGCAAAAGATTTTTCGAATCGTGGAGGCATGTCAGGCACAAAAATCGAGGCAGTCCATCAAACAACAAAGTGAGGAAGTCAGTTTGTATTGCTATCAACATAAGTTTTCTCCTCCAGCCCTCTCCACCGAGAGCCATCTGAGTGTCGACAGCAACCTTCGGTCCTTCCGAAACATGCCTAGAGGTACTGTGTAAGGAGCAATACAGCCGGTCAAGTACCATTATATGTGGACAAACCGCCAAGCTCATGCTACGAAACAGATAAAAGGCCATCGCAGACGCCTCCCGACCCGAACTCCGACGCTGAGATGCAAGTCTTCCAGGCGAAGGTCATAAACCATGAATTCTAGGTAAACTCCAGTCATTACCCTTCAACCACCAAGTGCCAGTCCAGCTGGCGAACCAGATCAGATCAGATCAGAACATGCCGAATCTGAAGTCCCAAAGTCTGAGTTCCAGGATCCCGATCCGAGTTCAAATCTGAGTCGGGCCAGCCACCCTACCGCCGTCAACACCCGGCAAAAAAACCTCCGTGTTCGAGGAGCTCGGCTCCGGCCACCACTGCCAATCGTAATAACAAGGCTGCATCGTCAGCGAGACAGAGTCATCGGTATAGCTCGCAGTGAAGTACCACGACAAGTCATGGGTAGACTCGGGCTCATCGTTGGCATCGTTCTGCTTGCCGGCTTGAACGCCCTCGTGCTCGAGATGCTTGGCCTGGACGCCTTTGCCAACCTTGGAGATGCGCTCGACAGCACCCTCGCCACCGTTGAGGATGGTAGTGCGGACTTGCTCCTTGGGACGAGGCATGGACGGAGCGGGGGTGGTCACGCTGAGGGCGGCCTCCTCCAGCGGATTCGGGGCGGGAGCGGGAATGGGGAGGACGTGATAACCTGGGGCGATGGAGACGCTGGTCTCGATGGGCAAGACGGGGGAAGAGGGAGCAGAGCGACGGTGGACGCCGAGGATGGTGCTGGTGACCATCGTGTTCTGCTCGGTCCAGGTACCGGAGGGAGGAGCAAGCGGGTAGCTACGCGTGGGACGGATGACGGGAGCAGGAGTGTCGGTGACTTCACCGCTGTTGGGGAGCAACAGGGTGTAGGTAGTGGCCATGGTGCCGAAAGTGAAGGTCAGGGTGGTGTACTGCTTCTCGGGGGCAGCCTGCTGCTCGACCTGGAGACCACGGGGGCGGACGATGTTGCTTGAGGTCTCACCGTAAGTGCTGCTGTGGCTGGTAGGGTCAGCAGAAACGGTGACAACAACCGGGGTGACGGTGACGGTGGCCTTGGGGACGAAGGCGGCGGTTGAGTTGGTGAAGCCAGAAGCCGTGATAGCATCGGCGGAGGCCGCGATGGTGACGGTCTTAATGTCGGTCTCGACCTCGGTCACGATGCTCTCAGTCTCGAAGTCGAACTCGGTCGCGGTGCTGCTGGCGCCATAACCGCCTGTAGGCACAGCCACGGCGGCAGTCTCAGTGGCATGAGCGTGCCCCTGGTGAGTATGAGTTGAGAAAATTGGCTTGGGAAGACCCGGCAAGCCATCGATGTGGAACTCTGCGCTGGCTGTGGTAGTGATGGTTTTGTGGCCAGTGAGCTCACGGGTAGATCTCTCGATGTAGGGCGCGGCCAGGCCCTGGGTGAGGCCGGCGCTTAAGGTGAGAAAAACGTGAGACTTCATTGTCGCGTTCTTGCCTCGTCGTTTGGCGAGGGAGCGAGTTGTGCGGTGTTGGCTTGGTTCTTGCTTAGCTGAGAGCTTGCGTGGCGTAACCCTGATGGGCGAACGACAATCTTGAGATCAAGACCGTGATGGCGTTGTGGGTGTTTTAACGGAAGGAGAGAAGAATGTTTCTGGGAGGATGAAGGGGGGCGTGGAGGGGCTGCTGCCATTATTTTTCCAAGAGGCTCCTGTTGCGTCACCGGTTCCTGCCAGCTGCCTGCCTAGTTCAACTTCAGACGAAGGTCTAACATCAGGCATGAAGTGCCAAGTACTCCTCAGCACATAACTTATCATTCACAGGAAGGTACGGAGTGAAGAGCCGTGAGGCAAGGCGTAAAGGGCATGCAAACATTAGGTAAGTACTGACATCAGACGAAAAAAGGTACGGTATCGATCCAGCCAGCTCGAGACCCAGTGACCAGCCAGCTAATCTTCTACAAATACATGATCGGATGGACTTGTCACGCTGCTGCAACGTTTACCTTGTTGGCCGAGTGGTTTACGGTCAATGCTGAAGACAAAGGTTGAACGAGATGGCGACTCCAGTTGAAGTCTGTGAGGCGACCAGGCATACGAGACTACCTCTACTCTAGAAGTTTTATCTGTATTGGGTAAAAGTGCTCATACCTCTACCGTGCCTCTACATCTGTAACCCTTGGACGGTGACGGCGGCGGTTACTCGTTCTTCCCTCATCGCGGAGACAAACAACGGACCGTGGGGAGAAAAGGATGATTATGGATACCATGGAACAAAGGACCAACTTCACCCGAAAGGACTGGAAACAATGTGTGATCACACATTAACGAATACAACACTCGTCCGCAGTAAATTTCCCAAAACTTAGAAAAAAGTACAAGCAAATACCATTCCGAAAACAGAGAATCACTGATTCCACAACCCTCCGTGTTACATACCGTTCCTTCTCCTTCCTCCGCTCTTACTCCTAGCAATATGTGCCGTCAGACGCTTCTTGGTATCCACCAAACTCCTCTTATGCTTCGCCCTCGCCTTACCAACCGTCATCAGGAAGTTCTTCTTTCTCGCCTTCTCCTTGTTCGTCGACGACTTGCCCTCAGCCTCCTTCTTGGATTTCCTGATTGCCTGCGTCGACTTGTGCTCCTCACGCGCAGGCTTTCCATCCTTGGCCATGGCCACCCGCTCCTCCTTGGTGCTCTTCTTGCCAATCTGGGCAGGCAACTCGATGTCGTCGGCGGTAACACCGTCTTCGATGTGCTTGGCGATAAGTTCTTGTCTCCTCTTGGAGACGGTGCCTGTCATCTTATCTAATTGGGCCTCCCGGCGGAGCTCTGCCAGTTTGGCGAGGTCGGCGGGCGTGAGGATGGTGGTCATGGCGAGCTTGGAGATGCGGTTGGCTTCGGCGGCGGCGGCCATGGCTTCGTCGGAGATGAGATCAGGAGCCGTTGAGCTGTCGCGACGCTGCTTCTTGGCTGCAGGCCCTTCGTCCTCGTCATCGGAGTGCTCAACGTTAATCCACCCGGTGGAAGAGTCAGAATCGTTGGAGGCGACTTCCCACTCGTCGGAATTGAACCCATCTTCGTCATCATCATCATCCTTCATCTTAGCGTCTCCATCAGCATCCTCACCCTTCTCAGCGAGTTTCTTGAGTCTCTGCTCCTCCTTGTACTTCTCGAGAAGCTCGATACCCTCAATACCGCTCTCCACTTGCTCTTCACCAAATTTGAGCCTCTTGACCTCACCCGACTTTAATCCCATGGTTGCCTCCTTGCCGCGGAACTTCTTTTGCAGCAGCTCGGGGTAAACTTCACGGTAAAGGGACTGAAGACCCTTGGCGGCCATTACCACGCCCTTGTCTTTGGACTTTTGGTACATGACTAGATCTTGAAGGAGGGTCTCGCTCATGCAGAGCGGTTGGCGCAGAGCGACTTCACGGATAGAGTTGATACCGGCAGAAGCAACTTCGGCGGCAGAAGCCTCCGAGACGAACTCATTGGCGATCTTGACAACGAGAGGTTCGATGGCGTCGGGAGGGACGTGGTTGTGTGTCGCCTGCGCCAAAGAAGCGAGGAATGAAGTGACGGACGGTTGCTTGGGCGTCAGGTACTTGGTGAACCACGGATACAAGGAAATGATGGTGAGCTTGTGCAGACCGACCAGACGGGTGACGAGCTGGAGGACCAGTAGCTTGTTGTCGAGGGAGAACTTGCACTTGGTATTCTGCAGGTGTTTCTGGAAAAGCTGCTCGGCGAAGCCTTGAGGATCGTGAATGAGGTGGAGAGCCGAGAAGTTCAGCGGATGAGGGGCGTGCTTCTTGCGCTCCTGCTTCTTGATCTTTTCCATGGCCTTCTCCATGGCCTTTTGACGCTTCTTAGTCTTTTTGTTGATAGTGCCCTGATGCTTGACCTTCTTAATGTCAATCTCCTCGTCACTAGAGTCGTCCTCCATGTCCTCGCGCTCCTTGTCGCCGCCCAAGAAGAAGCGGACACCACCAACGACGACCTTTTCGTTGTCGGACAAACAGGCCTCCTTCATGACGTCGCAGGGCCGGGCGTCGGTCCAGATCTGGCGGCGCCACAGCTCGCGGGTGATGCGGCAGGCCCACATACCCTTGGTCGAAGTGCGGTCCGAGGTAACGAGGTTGTGCAAAACGGTTTGGATGGTGCGGTTGAGCTTGTGGTTGGTGGCCTTGGAATTGGACTCGCGCAGGTCGCTGACGATCTTGGTGTACAGGAGGGAGCGGAGGGACTTGGAGGGCGTCGAGATCAAAATGGGGAAGAGGGTGGTGAGCAGGCTGGTCGAGTCGATGACATCCTTGCGACGGAGGAGAGACAAGCTGCCGACGACCTTTTCGCGAAGATCGGGGTTGAGTACGGCATGGTGTTGGGTCAAGAGCTCCTTGAGGTGGTCAAAGTAGGGGGCGGTGACATCCGGGTAGAGATCGGCGACGTGGGCGACGAGGTCAACGAGGTCGTGGAATTTCTTGTTGTCTTCGCTGGAAGCGGAGGAAGGGGACGAGATGAAGATTTGTCGTTGGGCGTCGTATGCGAGCCACTGGTCGTAGAACTCTTGGGCATAGGATCTGGAGGAGGAGGCCAGGGTGTTAGTAAACAGAAGCGACTGACGACGAGGGCAGCAATGGGCGACGACGACGACAACAACAACAAGAACAACTCACTTGGGATCCCTCCTGATCTTGTACTGCAAACTGACCAGGTCAGCGTCGACCTTCTCGAGGGCGGCCACCTTTCTCTTGGGCATCTTGGCGGCTGGAGAAGGACGGTATTCTGAGTGATGTTGAGATGCGAGTCGCAACAAGAGTGGAAGCCGGTTCCCTCTGCTCTGTTCAGTTCCAGTCCTCTGGCACAATCCTCGACCCTCGCTTTGCCTGGAGCTTCAGCGGTCCAGAATTTTTTGGGAAATTGATTCCTTATCGGATCCTTATCAGTTGCGCCAGTGGAGTTGGTGGACGTTCCAGGCGGGGAGGACCCTGGACAGCGGCATTCTGCGCCCCACTTGAACTGTGCCCTTTTAAATTTTCTTTTTCTGCCGCGCTTTTTCTTGGATTTCTCTTCCCTTTTGCTTTCCACAAATCACCATTCACTTGGGCGATTGACGGCAGCAACTGCTCCCCGCGGTTTGCTATTCCCATTCCGGCGATGATGCATTCCTCATCCGCCACTTGAACTTGGACAACCGAGACGATTGGCATATGCTGTCTTTCGTTTCGTCCTTCATCTCCCAACAACATGCGGCTCTTCCTCGTTCGACACGGAGAGACCGTCGACAACGTGGCCGGTTTATAGTACGTTCAATCCAGCAGACCATGTCCACAGGACAACTGGCTAACCTTTCCCAGCGCAGGCATCCGTGACTCCCCCCTCACCACCCACGGTGTTTTGCAGGCACGTCGTCTAGCCTCGCACTTTGCCTCGCGGTCGTCCTCAATTGGTCCTGTCACGCACATCTTCTCTTCCGATCTGCAGCGCGCAGTCAGTACTGCCCAGGCCATTGTGGACGCCCAGGTGACGAAGGCAACGGAGAAGGAAGATACGGACCATTCCAAGCTCCAATTGGTTCAGGTTGTCGAGCTTCGCGAACGCGATTTCCGATCTGCCGAGGGGAAGCGCTTTGGCACACCGCATTCCGATGCCGAAACGCATGACGAGATGCGCGCGCGAGCCACCGATTTCGTACAAGTCCACCTGGATCCGCTGCTGGACAGTATCTCCAATGGTGATAACTGCAAGACCAACACCACCGTCGTGGTTGTCGCGCATGGCTTGATACTCAACTCGCTCTTGAGATCACTTTTGGCGCGTTATGCCCCAGAAGAGCTGACGAGGCTTGCCAACGCAAAGCTGTCGTCGGGTTCTGTTGCCGGAAGGTCAGAATTTCTCGCTGCTTGGAGCAACACTGGATATCTCGAGATGAAGGTGGATGCCATTGCCTCGTCTGAGGAGACCGAGAAGTCGACTGTTCAGTTGACTGTCGTCCGGGTCAACGTCCTTGACCACCTCCACGGCCTGAAAAGGACCAGGGGTGGCATTGGCAGTGCCAAATTTGACAGTAAACAGAAGACGATGGATTTGTTCTTCAAACCCGCTGCCAAAAAGCGACGGGTTGGTTGATCGGTGTCAGCAATTGGTATGTTCCTGCCTCCTTTCTTCATTTACACCACACACCCTCCCTGCTTTTTATGATGAGAAAAACAATGTTCACAGACCTGTACCGAAACACTATGTGGAAAAACTTGTCCAACCGCTATCTGAGAAAGCACATCACAATTGTCCTTGTTATCATTGTCTTGATGTGAGCGCCGTTGCTAACGGGTATCAAAGACAGGATATCTTGAACTGGCACCACTCGAGGCTTGCTGGAATATGTCAAGCCATCGTCACTTCGGTGCACTTCAGAATAGCTCTCAATGACACCTGATCATCCATAACCTTCACTTTTCGTAAATCTGTGACTCTTGGTATCGCTTGTATGCTATGATTATGCTCTTTGAGTCCTTTGATGATAATGTCTGTCTCAACTATTCCTCATCGCTTTCGCCTTCCTCGCTATCAGTGGACTCTAGCTCCTCTCCTTCCTCCGACGGTAGTATCCTTGGGAACCATCCATACTCTGCGAAGTCAACCATGAGCTCTCCCAGCGCCCCCGTTGTAACAACCACCCCTTCGGCCTCTAACGCCGTCGCTTGGCTGCGTGAACCTTCCGGCTGAGATCTTATAAAAAATGGGCTGTCAGTATGTAATCGGTCACATACATTGGCGATCCACATTTAGTTCAACAGGCAATTCTCCTTTGAGCCGATGTCTGAGCTGCCATAGGAAGCGCACATACCGAGGAGAAATAACGCCCTTGGCATTGATCACTCTCTGCCAGGGTACATTCTCATTGTTGAACCGGGCTGACGGGTCAATGGGGAGGTGTTTGAGGCAGACTCCTACCTGCCGGGGCCGTTGCGCTGTTGAGTTTATATGTTGCTTGTCAGCATTTCCACCTGTGTGGTACGGAAAGGGAGATTGGTGGTATCAGGATGAGGTGCATCTCGTGAACCGATGTGAGCAGGAAGGATTTGCATACGCGTCCCAACCAGCTTTGCAATGTGGCCGTAGCTGGTGACTTTGCCGTGCGGAATCTCTTGCACGGCGCTGTAGACGGCATGGAAAAAAGCTTGTGCTTCTTCGGAGCGAGCCATCTCAGCGATAATTGAGTCTGATTCTTGGCGGGGAGGTGATTCGGAGCAGTGAAAGTGGCTGCGTTTATTACGTTGCGTTGGGGAATGAATGCTGATGTTCGTGACAAGAACAGTTGTGGCGGGTGTTTGGAAGTTCTCACTCCCCCACATTAGTTCATTTTACTGCGACGTTTGGCACGATCAGCTTTCCCTCAGCGCAATCGTACATAGTCAAAAGCATTTCACGAACGACGCAAATACCTTCCGTACTGTGTGCAAGAGAGTCTGACGAAGGGAAATGCAAAATGATCACAATGTTAATGCTTGAAGCCGTGTTCGTTACCGCGGTATAAAGTTAGGAGATATTCAGATTTGCAGGGTTCGGATCGCAGTAAGCTTACTGCTGTACTGCGCTCGTGTAGCGTTCGTTAAAAAATCCTTATTTTTATGCAACCACCTGCAACTATCTGCAACCACCTGCACTTACTCCAAATCGTCGATTTGACCAATCAGAAGGCTAGAATATTCTTATTTCTTAACCATTCTGCTTACTACTATACCGCTCGATTTTGAGTGGTACAGCAGTAAGGACGCAGTAAGAACCACTTATAGCGCTTCACCCCTTATAATATAGGGAGTTGCCGTCGTAAAGCACCCCCCTCCCCTAAACCTCTCTTTAGGAAAAAAAAAAGAAAAAAAAGAAAGAAAAAAAAAAAAAAAAAAAAGCTCTTTTTTTCTAAAAGATAATAAATGAGTGATACAGGAAATGTACTATAGATTAGATAGATGCATGCATGTGACGAAGGCCGCCTGCCCGGAAGACCTAAGCTTCCAGGGCAGCGGTTACCTGGCTACCTAGTATTCACTAGGCGACCGGGCGTGGGGACCTGGACCTACTAGGTTAAGGATAAATATTATCTTTAATTATTAGGGCCAAGCTTCCTCCTCTTCTTCTTTTACATTATACTTTCCAATACAAAACTACCCTACTCAATAGAATAAAGTATTTTCTAAGATTGCTACGAATCCGTATTAAATAGTAGCTATAATTATACGTTATATAACCTAATATATTATTACTAATCTATTGTATTGCTAAATTGTTTAATTAAACGTATTGGGACTGCGACTGCGATTGCTCAATCTTCTACGCCGAATTATAGTAAGCCTAGAAGAAATAGCAAAAATATTCAACTTTATCGTATATAAGCATATCGGTTATTAATTATTTATACTAAATTATAGTAGGCCTAAGCAACGGACGACCTTAATAAGCCGGTGTATAAATACTTTTACGATTAAAAGTTCTACTAAATTATAGTAGGTTGAATACTACTATAATTATATTTTAAATACCTTCTTTATACCCTCTCCCGCCTAACGAACTTTATTCTTACGTAATTTTACTACCTAAATCTAATTTCTATTATACTATTAAATAATAATAGGCCGAATACTATTATAATTATACTTTAAATACCTTCTTTATACCCTCCCCCGTGTAACGAACTTTATTTTTATACAATTTTACTACTTAAATTTAATTTCTATTATATTATTAAATTATAATAGGCCGCGTAATAATTACTAACGTTAAAGGTTTCCCCCGCCTCCGAATTATAGTAGGAACGTAGCCCTCTATCCTTATAATCGATTATTTACTATTCTTTTAATAAATTAAAATAATTAATAATAATTTTTATTATAATAACCTCTTTGAAGTAAGTAATACGTCCGATTATTATAATTTAAATAATAATTTAATATATAATTAACTTCCTAACCTTTAATTACTCTAATTACCCGAACCGAACCCGTATTTAAAACGAAGTAATCGATTAGTATTTAACTAATTTATTAACCCTCCTATTCCTCTTCCGACCGAATACCCTATAGAAGATTCGACGGCTCTAACTTCGGAAGAGATTATAGAATAAAAAGGAAGAAGAAAGAAGGTAGAAAAGGAATTTAAAGAATTAAGGACGTTAAACGCTTCTATAGAGGAACCGCCCTAGTTTATATAGCTAAAAAGATTTAAAAATAATATATTATTTGTATTCTATTTTAAAAACGTTTGCGATCGATTATATTAAGAAATTTATAATATTAAAGGAAATATCCAGGGAGGAATATAGAATTAATTATAGAATAATCCCCTTTTATAAGAATTACGTTAGACCGTAGAAGCGTTATTTAAATAAATTAGTAATATTATCAAGAATTAAAGTATTTTAGATTAGGGTTTAATAATAGTTTTAGTAAAAATTAAAGCAATAGAAAATAATATCAAATATTAAATTTAAATAATAGGCTCTTTATTGCAACTTATATTCTAATTATAAAATAAGAGTAAATTAATTGTTAATAACGGGTTAAAAAACAAATTAATTAATATTAATAGAAAATTGGAAGAATTGCAAAGTAAGCTAAATAACCTCAAATTTAAATATAAGAGATTCTTTAATAACTTTAAAGGTATAAATACTAATTCTCCTATTTTATTAGGGATAGGAAAAGAAGTATCAACCTTTATAATTAATTCTAACCCTCTATACCTATCTTCTAAAATCTTAAGAATCCTCCGCAACCTTATTAATATAATATCTATTAGTTCTATTAATTTAAGCGCTTTATTTATTCAAAGTATAAATATTATTTATAATAATCCCTAATATACGGCTTTACTCCCACAATTCGAAATAGTCTAAAACGCTACTTAAATTACCTTAACTACGGGTCCTACTCCCCTAGTACCTCCCCCGGATAGTATAACCTATACTAAATGAAATAACCGTCTTTACTAAGAAAATATGAATTAATTCTATCCTTATTATAGTAATCTGGAGGATATTAATATTATTTTAAATAATAAGAACCTAATTTATACAGATATTTTCTACTTTATAAATAAATTAAAATTGTTTATAAAGGACCCCTCCTTAAAAAGAATAGTTAAATAATAGATCTTTACTATATTTTAAACTCTTTTAGAAAAATCTATTATTTTATAGTAAATTAATAAAGTAAGTCTAAAAAAGAGGAGGGAATTAAAGTAGGCCGGCCTACTAAATTTAATAAAAGCTTTAATAGAACGTTTCTATTCTAATTCCACTACTATAATTAAATATTTTACTGAAAATACCCTTACCCTTCGTAATATTATTAAGGACGAGAACGTTCTAATACAATTTATATAGAAGAAATTACGTTATATTAGAACTATAGGAATAATAAATTATAATAGGGCTAGTTAATATAGGGTAATAATTTAAATTTAAACGAATATAAATCTCTATATTTGTTAATATCTCTATCCCCCACCTAAGATAGATAAACTAACCGAATATATAATTAAAATTAATAAGGCTAAAATTATCCTTTTAATAGTAGCCTTCGAAAAATATCCTTACTATTTAAAAAAGACCTTAGGCGATTCTAAAAAACTGAAGGAATCGGCGAACGTTAGGAAAAGCTATAGTAATAAACTATATAACTACAATTTTTATTATCCCCCTCGTAATTCTCGTAATTTATATTATGCCCTACGTAATACCCGAACCGATAGTAGAAAGCCTAACGACTATAAAGATACCTATTAATTTCAATTTAAAAATAAGGTTTATTTCGCTAATAATAACGCTAATTATAAGGATTTAAACGAGCTATTTACCCCCTTATCCGTAGAGTTAAGCCTAAACTACTTTATTTATAATACTAATATTATTTACCCTAAATATTTTAAAAAATTTAATTCTAAAATAATTTTTATTAGCTATAATATTACCTACGAATAGTTAATAATTGCGAAGAGAGAATTAAAGAAGGAAAAACCAATTAAAATTATTTATAGAAATTATAAATTAATTTACGGCTCCCGAAACGCCCTCTTTTATTATACTAAATTATATAATAGAAGGATCTCCTCTATTCCGGCTATTATATAATAAATTTCCTTTATTAATTTCGGAATAATAATAGAGGATTATATTATAATAGAAGCTGATATTATCGATAAAGAAGACATTAAATTAAGCCCGATTTTAGACTATATTTATCTACGGATTTTAATTAAACTATTTATAGAGGGTAAATTAGACGAGGTTTATATCGACCTTAGTACCAGACGGTCTATAATCGACTGAAAATTTCTTTAGAAATTAGACTATTCTATTTTAATTAAAGAATTGCATTGTATTAAAAGGGTAGAAGGAATTTTAATTATTAAGGAATAAATTACCTTCTAAATTTATTTAATTGGTATCGGATATAAAGGGAAGTTTACTTTAATTAAATTCCGTAAATCTGTATAGATTATTAATAAATTTAAAGCGAACGCTCATCTAATTAATAATTTTCTAAATTTAAAGAGAGGCGCAATCGATTATAATAAAATAATTATTACCTTTACTAGAATAGTAAGATTTACCCTACCCTTCGTAATTAAACGCTAATTCTATCTATATATTAAAAGAGTTATAAACCGAATATAAATCGTTATCCCCCTATATATTTAAATTTATATACCGGCTATATTTAAGGCCCCACCTAAAGGGAGGAATTTATATTTTTATATTACCTACTTTTAAATTATAAATACCATTCTTAATATTTATACTCCCTATATAGTTCTTATATACAATAATATTAATGAAGTAGTAATAGTAATTAAGAATATACGTTTAGGAATAATTACCGAGTATAATAATGGTATATACTATATAGTAAGCGAATAAGTATATTATATTAAAGATGAAGATAATAAAACCTATATTAATAATAGCGAGCTAAATAGACCTAAGGTTTTAGAGAAGTACTCTATACTAGGAGCTAAAGCCCCTAGCAATTAACCGTATATTATAACGGTTAACGGGATTTATATTTTTAATAAAAATCCCGAATTCGCTACTACTATAATAAAAATAATTAAGAAGTACCCCTCTATTTAAGAAGAAGGAGGATTTATCGATATTCTGGAAAATAAACTAATAAAAATCCCCTTAGTAGAAGGATAGTAAAATTAAAAAATTAGTACTAGGGTCTACCCCTTCAATAAAAAGGATTAAATAGTAATAAATAAAATCTTTAATAAATTATACGCTTAAAGAAAAATAAATTAGTATTTTGATTTAACCCCGTTCATTTATCCTATATTTATAGTATAGAGGATAATTAAAGAGGAGGATAAAAGCTGACTGGTAATTAATATCCGATTATTAAATTGGGTAATAGTACTAAATAACTACCTATTACCAAAGTAGAAAGTAATTATTTTATGTATATATAGAAAATTATATATTATTATAGTTGATATAATTTCCTTCTTCTATCAATTTAGCATTTACCCTTCTTATTAGAATTAACTTACTATTATTTTATATTGTAGTTTAGAAACCCCCTATATAGCCTTAATAGGATTCTATAATACTCTTATATACATATAGAGGTTTATAAATCAATTATTAGCCCTTTATAATATTTATTATTAGGTTTATATTAATAATATTATAATTGCCTCTAATATAGCCAAAAATTATTTATAATATTTAAATATAATTTTTAGCCTCTTTACGAATAAGAATATAGTCCTAGTACCTAAGAAATTATTTATTAGGTATCCCGGAGCCGAAATCCTTAATTTTTATATTGATAGTTTTAAGTTATTTATAATGAAGAAACGTATTGTAGCTATAAAGAACCTCGCCTTCCTAAATTAATTGAAGGTATTAGAGTAATATATAGGAGTAACCGGGTTCTTCCAATACTTTATCCCTTACTATATTTAATTAGTCGAACTATTATAAAATAGGAAGGTTGTACTATTCGCTGAGGGCCGTTAGGTAGGCTGCTTAGAAACCGGTAATTTAAATAAGAGATTAAACTATTATATAAAAACCTTCTTCGAATTAATAGAATAGGAAAAACTATTTTTTTAAACCCTTTAAAACTAAATCTATAGTACCGACTACGCTAGCCCTAATATTCTTTATTACTTAAATATAAATAAGCAACTATTCCTTTAAATCAACGGCTTACTAGAAAGGGAATATAGAGTAATACTATTTTATATTAAGGATAAATACAAATAGGACCTATTATTAGGACCTATCCCTTCGAATATTATATTATTTATCTTATTTCTAAACCGCTATATAATTGAAGTTGAAATATAATATAGTCTATTAGAAATAGAGGTAGTATACTTCATTTAAATAGTAAAGAAACTCCGTACTTATATTTATTTAATTAATAAAATAGTTTATATCTTTATAAATTACTTGGTTATAAAAAGTATTATTAAATGAAGGAATTTAAAAATATCTTTAACCGACCGCGCTAATAAAAAACTGATAAACGCTTTATCTACCTTTCGTAATATAATTTAAAAATCTTCTATATCCTAAGAAAATTCAATTTTATCTCTAACACCTTAAACTATTTAAAAATTAAAGGAAATATCCTCCTAGAAAAACGAAAGGAAGGGTAAATAATTTTAAATAATATATAGTTTTTTATCGCCGAATTAAATATAGAAAAAGGATTAAAGAACCGTTTATAGACTAGATATAAGATAGACCTAAAGTTCGGAAAAATCTTCAGCAATTTTAAGGCTACCGAGGACGGTAGTACTTTTTCCAAATCCGGCTATCCCTTTATAATAATAAATAAATTAATTTATAACGTTAATTTGGGTATATTATATACTTTATATATTCCCCGAAATTATATTTAAAAAATTCCATAAACCGTTTATAGTAAAAAGTATTATTTTAGACGAAATTGAATACTATACGACTTATAAGGATTATTAATCCCTAATAAGACTAGAACTGTAAAAAAATACTTCGAATATTACTTAGTTTATTAATTTGATTAAATTAATCGAGAACCCCCTATTAGCGATTATTAATAAATATAATTAGAGAATACTCTACTAATAAATATTATTATAATAAATTTTATTATAGGTCTCCCTATAATTTTATTAATTAATACGCTATAGTATTTAGAAGGTTTTCCCTCCTTTAATATAATAATAATAATTATTTATAAATTTTTAAGGTATAATCTATTTATTCTAGGATATTTAATATATACTGCTAAAGACTAGGGAAAGGTACTAATTCGCTAATTAATTTTTAATAATTAGGAAATTCCGACCGGTATTATTTTAAATAGAAATTGTAAATTTATATCCGGGGTATAGAAGGGGATTTAATCTATATAGGGTACTAAACTTATAATAATTACCGCCTACTACCTTTAAAGAGACGGCCTAGCTGAAAGAAAAAACTAAATAATAGAAATTGCTTTACGATTCTACTATTTTAAAAATCCAAATAGAAATTAGGCGAATCTTTTATCCATATTATAATAGAATTTTAATAGCGCCTATAATAATACTATTAAAAGCTCCCTTTACGAATAATTTTTTAGGTTTAAATTACCCGGCCCCCTCGATACCCTAATAAAGTTAACCCTACCTAACCTCTCCCTTAAAATTAAAAATAACTTCTAATAGGATATAAAATTATTTATAAACTTTATTACAATTTATATTAAACGTAGATACGACGATAAGTATAAGTAATTAGAATTTCGTATTAGTAATAAAGTCCTATTATAATTTTACTATAAGTATTACCTTCCCAGCTGACTATTATAAAAACTATTCTAATAACAATTAAGTCAATTTATAATTATTAAACGCATAGGAAAGCTAGTATATAAATTAGTACTTTCTATAGGTATATCAATATACTCAATTATTTTAATAGTATATTTATTACTAACCCCATCGGAAGAAGACTTATACTATAAATAGGCGCCCCCCCCTAATCCTATTAAGGAATTTTAAAACTCTAGTATAGAAGAAGGCGATAATTACGAAGTAGAAATCTTATTAGATTACTATATAGATTAGACTAAAATTAAATACTAATATTTTATTAAATAAAAGGGATAGAAAAATTAATATAATAAATAGAAAAGTAAATAGTAATTAAAGTATAATAAGAAATTAATAGAATAATACTAGGAACGTAAGGAAGGTAGGCCTATTATAGAAGAAACGGTTAGGGTAAAGGAGTATAATAAGTATAATAGTTATTACTAAGCTAGGAAGTAAAGAGGCTACTAAAGACAATAGAATACTTTCGTAAGGCCGGGATTTGATATAGGAAATATACTATAGATTAAATAGATATATATATATAACGAAGGCCGCCTGCCCAGAAAACCTAAACTTCTAGGGTAGCGGTTGCCTAGCTGCTTAGTATTTACCAGGCGACCGGGCGTAGGGACCTAGACCTGCTAGGTTAAGGATAAATACTATCTTTAACTACCAAGGCCAAACTTCCTCCTCTTCTTCTTCTATATCATACTTTCCAATACAAGACTACCCTACTCAATAGAATAGGGTGTTCTCCAGGATTGCCACGAATCCGCATTAATAAGGCTATTCCCAACTGAAATCTACCATTTGGACTACACAGAAATTTTACACAGTATATATACTGTGGTAATTGAGAACTGAAGATTGAAGTGGAAGAGTTAAAATGATAACTACGGAGGGGGGGAGGGCTATTAGTTATATATACCTCTAGGTACCGAACAGAGCTCAGTAACGAGCTCTCTTGGTATACCTTAAAGCTACCTTAATGTTGCAGGAGTGCAGCTGTAGACCCTGCATGGTAATGCAAAGGTTAAGGCCAAAACCTTAACGCGGTAACGAACACGGCCTGAGTGATGAAAATCTACCAAAAAAAAGGTGTTGGACAATACCGGGATTGAACCGGTGACCTTCCACAAAGATGATCGACTAGTCGACATGCGAAGCGGAAATCATACCACTAGACCAATTGCCCACATTAGTTAAGGAAGAAGTAAAGCTTTTGCCAATGAGCGCCTCTGTTCTGGAATCTCGTCTGGATCTAGATCTCCCAGCTAGAATCATCGTATGCGTCAAATCTTACATTTGCGTCGCCAAAACCATTCCCCGGAAACTGGCAACCCGTGCCGCAACAGTGACCGTGACACTTTTTAGCCTAAGATCACTGTAATGGCGCACCTTGCACCAGCGGTATTGCGGGCACATGTGTGGAACTGAAGGCTCTGTCACTGAGTAATCTTCGCACAGCCGCCAAAATTCACCCAGTGGCTGCTAACCCATACCAAGCCTGCAGACAGACCCCAGCCTATCTCGGGAAGGTCAAGTAGTAAGTTTCTCAACTTTGTGGGAACCATAGCCAATTGCCCAGTCTTTTGTTCCGATCGCGCACCAGCTCGCCTGTTTCTTTCTCTTTTTTCCTCTCTCAATTCCCAATCTTCTTCAGTCTCTTTGCTTATTGACCAAAACACTTGATCCATGGTACAGGGACCCAAAAAAGGTAAGTAGTGCTCTGATGGTCCTGGTCTCGATAACTACATCGTGTTCCTTAGGGCATGCAAGCTTTAACATCATATAAAGTTTGGAGTGTATCGGCGTTGATGCGAGCTTCAAATTATTGGTTTGGATGTGGTCCAAAGTTGTTAGTAGGTATATGTTCGACGGTCAACGTTGGCGGTGATTCCCTGCCGGATTGGAATACGGGTCGGGCAATAAGCTTTTTCCTCGATACCGAGCTTAGGAACGAGTCAGGATACCAGGTCTAGGTCCGATTTTGTTGATTATTTCGCTTCTGTAGTGCCCTAAATAGGTTGGAAAAGACTTAGGGTTAATGCTAGAAGTAAACGGGGGATCCAGCGTGGGCAGTTCTGATGGCCCCGAATGCTAGCCTGTTCAAGGCGGGAAGAGATTCGTCGGTGATCGGTGACCTTCCATGTCACCAGAGCTCCTTTACCTCTGGTCAGCCCCTAAATCTGCATGGTTAAGGCGAGTATTCATCGACGCGCATGGCGAACATCTCAAAGAGTAACTATCAAAGATCGAGAACGATATCGCAATAATGGCTCTCGATAACGGCGCGCACATAGGAGATGGACTCGATCGAAAGGCGATTACTATCAGCGTTAGCTACCTCTAGGTAATCTGCGTAGAAAGTTAACTTGCCCACTTTAGGCTTGGGTTGTTGAGGGCTTGAGACTTCTCCGCCCGCTCGGGGAAGTGTTTTTAGTGGTTGCCATTTGGCCAGCAAAAACAGCGCCTCATCATCGAGAGGATAAGGTCGAGAGAAGTGTTTGGGGTGTTGCATCGGGGCATGTCGAGATTTTATTGACAACTTGCAAGCCGGAAGTGCCTTCACAAGGTACGTACCTCACCTTAGGGGACGGTTGCCTTTTGTGGGCCTACAACACAGGGCAACCAACCTCTCATTGGCAAGATTACTACGTCCCCCGAATGCCGTGGTTCGCAAATTTTCAACACAGCACAAGGCGAAAAGGCGAACCATTTCAGTTCCGTGGTCCGCGCACCATGTTGAGCAGGCACCTAGTTTCCGGGGCAATCTCCCACACCTAATGCCCCATGGTATCTCACGTCGCCAGATGCACGACACGGAAGGCTCCAGTCCTACCTCTACCTATTCGCCCGATTCGGTTCATTTTTCGGTTGTTCACTTGCGCAGGACAAGGCCTCACTACCTGGTAGTTTGACCTCCCAGTCAGGTACTGTACCGGGCACGAACCAGGAAGTCCAAAGCTTCCCAGGTCGTGGCTCTGTATGTACCTAGGTATGCCCGGCCATTCGAGTGCCAAGGCCCGGTCGTCAGCGACTGACGTGAACAGGAACTGCCCGTCCGTTTCACTTACCCACTACGAGGTAACCACACCATAGCCCCAGTACACCAAGCCCCGCGCGATCTATTTCATTTGGCGGCTCCAATACAGTATTCAAACATACCCGCGGTCTTCAGAACGCGCTTTCTCATTGCACCCCTTCGTTCCGTATACCAATGGCCTGGCCATGACACCTCTCACATCACACCTTGCCGAAAGCCCATATCTAACATTTCTTTAAATATGTCCTGGCACCCTTCTTCTTCAAGGCAGCGGAGCAGTCGATGATTACCAGCTCTCGCCTTGTATTATTTCGTCCACTACTTATCCAAGCGCCTTCATCCAGACCTGCTCTATTGCCATCCCTCTTACTCTGTTACCAAAACTCTGAGCACCATGCCGTCCCACAGTGATAACACTCCTTCCCAGCTCCCAACCTCAGCTAGGAAAACGAGGGCCGATGTTTCCTCCACCACAAACAATCTTAGGTAGATAGTTACGCACAAGCACACAGCTGGATGATAAGATGTATAAGGGTTACGGTATCTTGAACTGACATTTATCTCGCATCAGCAAGCCGGCGGCTCCCGCCCAGAGCGGCTCCATGTTCAACGGTACCAGAACTGTCAGACAGTACAACGTATCCCAGTCAGGGTGTGATGCTTCAGGTTCACAGGCCGTCAAGAATACCTTTGATGACGGCTCTCTCCAGCATCAACGACTAGCCATGTTTGAGTCAAGACACCGCTTGGATGATGGCGCCCTCTACGTTCGCTTCCAGGACAGCACCCTTCCCACCACCGCCAACAGTGACGAGGTAGCACGCATTGCATTCCATCAGAATCGCGCTGCTGAAGCCATCCATCAGTTTGACAACACATTTGATTCCAACAAGTAATCGTCTACATGACTTGCTACGTTCTGACGGGGACGTTGGTTTACGGTTCCTTTCATCCTGATATCTTCAAAACGAGGATCCACAGGTTCATTCGCTACCCCACAACCGTTCCCGCACACCCCCGCCGCAGCGCTCCAAAACCTAGGTATCCACCAAGCCGTCTTGAAACTACAACCAATCATATGTTGGTTTTGTATCCTAATCAGGAAATCTTTGGTGCGAGCACTTGCACCGACACGGACGGTTCCACCAATTTGGAGAAACATCAATGAACGTCACGACCTCTCATCGACTCGGGACAATCTCTGAAACTTTGAAAGTGCTAAAGGTCCAAAAAACACATCTGCTTTCATGTACAACTTTCATCACGACGCTACCGGGCTCATTCCGTTGCATTTCGTTACCAAGCACCGCACATGCTTCTTTGAAGTTATGCACACACTCGAACGAGACATCCTTTCTTTTCTTTACAAGTCTCGATCACAGCCGCAAGTATGATATACGAAAATTACTACCTACGCCACAGCGCAACCTCGCTCTTTACGGAGTGTCCCATTTTACGCCATCTACCCTACACGCATTTGACGACCATCGCTTCGTTTCCTTCAATACTTGGCCTATACGTACATCTTTCTTGTAAACTGTCTCCTGATCATTACTTCATCATTGGCCATATCATTACCCTCCCTGCCCAAGATCATATCTATTTTCCTAAGGCATCGCGATAATCACCAAAATCCAGGAATCAAACAGCAGCCAGACCACCAACCCCGCACGGCAAGCGGGTCGCATGTTAGGTACACCCATGTCGTCGGGGCTCGACTAACCATGGACAACGGCCACTACCCACGACAGGCTCATGGCCCGTTATCTCGCTGTTATCACGGTTAATGGCATCGAGCAACTCTCATTTCACATTCCCTGAACGTTACCTCCTTATTGCAGTCATCAACGGTGCGGTGTCTGCTGCGCCGGGAGGCAGTTGTTGGAGAGTTGGAGAAAGTAACGCCAAGCAAACTCTGCAGGGATTAACGGCGCACACGACGTACCCCAAAAGGTACATTGTCGACTCAGCACTGCATTTCTAGCGAGGGAGGGAGGGGGCCGTTTGACCTTTCGATATGAATTGTTCCTTGGAGAAGGTATTGAACAGATTTTAGAGTGAATAGAAAGACAGCTTCATATAGATCTTAATTTCTTGATTATCACATTGTTGGTCTGGAATCTCCTTCAGTTTCGTTTCTTTCTGAAAACTTCCACGATTTCTCGGGTACACTGCTCGCCACATGCCTGCTTCTCCAAATCTCCAACTTCCAGCTGAAACACCCCTCATGCGGAGAAATCTCGTCGTGCCCGCTGCTCCCGTGCTCCCACAGAGTGCGATGCAACTAGTGTACTTCTACCTCTACTTGCAAGGTACCCTACCGCTCAATGGATCATTGCACGACAGTACATTGATACCTGTAGGTACGATACATCCTCTGGAACATAAAGGTTTCCTCCACAATCCGCCGTTACATACAAATTGTGCATACACCCCACAGAGTACGGTGCTGTGGAAATACACCCATACCGTGTGATACCGATAGTGGGGTCCTGACCAGTATGCCGAAGGGGTGGTTCTGTTGTGAATGATGATTTGTTGCTAGAGGTAGGTATGTAGTAGGTAGAGGTATGTTGATCCGTAGTCTGTTTCCCGCCTGCCATGCAAACCAAGTCTATTGATGCCCAAGCCAATACTGCGCCGAATGTCCTGCCCATACCCATGCCTGTTGTCGAAATCTTATGTTTTGCTCCATCTCAAACTTGAATTCTCAATGCCGGCCACCATATATCAATTCCATCCATCGCCTACTACTTCACATACACACCTCCCTCTCCTCTGCATCTGTCTCAAGTCGTCCTTGGACCCTCCACTCTCCCACCACGCCCATCCCATCCTCCTCCTTCTCACTCACGTACCCAACTCCCCTAACCATCCGTCTCGTCAACAAATCTCTACAAGCCTCCAACCTAGCATATAGCGCCAACTCCTCCCTCTCTTTTATCCCCTTTTCTCTGCCAGTTAAGCTTTCTTCCTGGGTTTTACTAGCAGAACCATTACACTCCAAGACCCCCCAGTCCAGAACCTCCAATACCCCCCTACCCCACCTGTCTTTCGCTCGCATGTTGGCCCCCTGCTCCAACAACACGCTCAGAGCAGTCTTTCTTCCCAGCCTCGCTGCCATCAACAAGGGTGTCTCTCCCCTTCTGTTCCTCGCTTCAATGCTCGCTCCACCTCTTATAAGTGTTTCGAGAATGCTTTGAAGAGTGCGAGATTTATCGTCTTCGTGATCAGGAATATGCTGCATGAAGGCCATAAGGGGAGTGAAGCCAGATTTGTCATACGCGTTTGGGCTTACGCCTACAGCGTTGTGTTCAGATGAAGGATGAAGGAGGGACCGTAAGTGGCGGAGGCGAGACGGAAGCGGGTCCTCGTTTTCTGTCACTATCTCGAAGGTACTCGTGACAGGAGAGGGGTGGGAAGTGTGGCCAGTTGACTGGATGATGTGGATAGGAGTGAGTTCCGATGAGAGTGATGAATGTGTGCTACGCCTATGGGGACGGCTACTGGAGGTGGTTGATAGGGCGGAACGTTGTTTATCCATGCTTTGTTGGTTGATGATGGCTTCTGCCAGACAGTGCAAGCCGTTACGACCTTCGGAGTCCTCGACAAGAGGGTTGGGATAGGCCGAGTGAATGATTCGGATTAAGCGGGCATGGTATGCTAGGAAGGGCCCTTCGTCTGCTCGAGAGGGGATACCAGAAACGCTGACGCTGGGGGAGGGGACTCTGTACGGCATGCTCGAGCCGATGGGGAGTTGGCGAGGGGAGTAGGAGGTGGGGCTACGGTGGATGGTACTTTCAGGTTGTAGAACAGTCGGGTCCGGCTGTACATCGGCGACTGGATCAAAGCCGAATGCATCTCGAGATAGTAGAATGGGAATATTGCAGTATGCTAGGATATCGGTCAAAACCTCCCGGTCTGCTACCAGGGATGCCGCCCGGTGGAAGAAGGTGCGGCCATAGACATCGGTGACGTGAAAGATGTCCGGATTAGAGGGACGGACGACGTCAAGAAGTCTTTGCAAAGACGACGAGGCGCTTGGAACGTTGGTAAACCATTCGGGGCTCAAAACATGAAGAAATGTCTGGTTGGCAGTGTTGGTGAAGCCCAAGGCGTTACCGGCCTATGGTAGGAGCCGAAACAACTGCGCTTGACAGCCACTTGTGGCAGAAAACAAGTGAAGCAGGGTGTTTCCAAAGGGGTCATGCAACTGGCATACCTCCGGTGATGGATTTCTGACCAGGTCGCTAACTTTGTCCCGTATCTCTCCGGTTGGTATCAACCATGAGCCTTCTTCTCTTGTCGTTTCCGCTACTATTGCGCACCAGCAAGTCCCACTACCATGCCCGGATGCTCGAAGTTCAGCACAGTTCAAGGTATGGGCAGTCAGGAAATCACCTGGTACCGCAAAGCCCGGTGTGGGAGAAACCCCGACGGCGCCAATGTCCGTAACTGGAAACTCGCAAGACTCAGCCAACCAAGAGTGTCGTTGTATGTGTTCAAGATCCGACCCGCTTGCTATCGTGAAGTTGTCCAGTAAAGTGCATACCTTCTCGGCGTATAGCGTCGAACAGTCGGATATCCTTCGCTGAACCTCAGAGGTAGGATGTAGTCGGCTAGTGATATTGCCCGGTGTTCGCTTCCGAATGGTAGACTTTGAGAGACTGTCAATGCGTTGATCCATCTCAACGCGTGACTCGGGCCGCAGATGACGGGGGTCATGGTCAAGCATTTTATGCACTGTCTTTTGGGCCGAATTTTTTCTGAGACCCGTCAGCCACCGTGACTTGCCAGGAGCGGTGCTTTATCACATACCGGGGGGCGAAGAGATCGTCACCTAATACTTTAATGATCCTTCCGATGGACAATGTCGTATAGACATACAGTCTGGCCAGCTTCCGTGACCTCGACAAGGTCCACTGAGGTGGCCACCCAATCCTTGTGCCCCCAGGCGAAGGCTTGGAGGATGAGTTTTCAAGCGAGGACATGTTAGATGAATATAAAGAGGACCGGGATGTTTATCTCACTTGAGACCAAGAGAGTGATGTTTTCCTTCTGGGATGTAGTTCTCTTCGGGGACCTGTGCCATCATATATCTGGGTTTCCGCCCATGTTCGTCCCCGAAGAGTACCCAGATGCCACATGGCGACCCGGCCACGTTCTTCAACAAAGGCCGTAAGCTCATGGCATGGGTTGTTCATTGTGTGATGATGAACTGGGGTGTTGACGCTAGTAAGGGCGAAATGATAGTCAAATGCAGACGGAACGGCGGTGTTCGACGGCAGACTTCATATACGTGCGGTAACGTACCGTCTAGGGAGGATAGCAAGGATACTGTGGGCCAGTTGAACTGATCATATCAACCGTTGTGTTTTTACATGTTTGGCAGAAAGGGGTTGCCAAAGTGTAAAAAGTCGTGTTGTTGGATCTGTTGCGCGGACAGGTCCTGGGCAGTATGGGGCTGTGTTAGTGAGTTTAGAAGAGCAAAGGCGAGGGGGGAAAGGTACCTCTATCCAGAGCAGCAAGAGCGTACGTTCGTATAGAGATAATCCTAGGTACTTAACCTAAGGGGCGATACCTAATAGGCAGATCAGTAATATCGGCCTCAATAATGTACTCGGGAGTTGCCGAGGGTCGGGTTGCGAACCAGTGGTTCACGGGCCGTTAGAAGGCTGGAAGCAACCGAGAGGATATGGTGAGAGAGCAAGCGTTTCCCACGCAATCTCCCATGCAGCAATGCTCAAGGGTGACAGCGAGGATAAGGTTACGGACGGTTGCACCAACGATCGGTTTCACGAGGCACTTTACCTAGCTGTTGGATGGATACTTTCACTCTCCCGATCCGGTAAATTGGCGCAGCTACCGGTGCCTGTCCTCGGTGTATTTGGCGTCCGTCAAAGGCTGTCGCACACCCTTCTCTTCCAGCATAACAATGATAACGTCCGAACTCCAGATTCTTTCTAGAAGGCTTCCATGCATTCCTCTTCATATTACGTGCATGGAACTGGGACCTCCTCAAGGGTCGCCGAAACCTTTGTTCTGGCCGTCATAATAGCATGGGCCATTACGAGGTCGTTATACCTGACCCGAGTATGTTTGCTTGTTCCAATCAAATCAACCGCACGTTCCAACTCGCAGTTATTCGGTCTGGGAAGGTCGCCTGACGGGAAAACCGGTCGGGTCGAAACTGAGTTCGAGAGGAAGAAGGGAGTTTCCGAGGAGATTGCTCGGTATTATCTGCGGGTACAAGATTATCAGCTGAGGCTCCGTAGACATTAGTGTTTGACGATGCATGCTGAGGGACGGAGACGGTTGTCGTTCACAAGTTCAGTCTCTTCGAAAACTTGCGATGCCGGCTGTGATTGGAGTAGATCGCAGGACCTGCAGGGAGGGGAGTTCAAAGTTGCGTTGTTTGTTGGCTTCCACTTGAGGGATGCCTGGACAGCTAGAATCCTCTTGCCAGGATCGCACTTGTATCACTCGCGGTACTCTATCAGTAATCCCTTTGCGGTGGCCATCGTGACTTGTTGCGTTTTGGATCTTGGTTACCTAACGAGCGGTCGGGCAGTATGGCCTCAAAAGACGACAGTGTTTGGCGAGCATTGTTCGGTCAATATCACCGAAGGGACGAAAGTGCGGCAACTGCCCGGTAGGATGGCAGATGACAAGGTGGGAAATGAGACGGAATAACCGTAGAGGTACTTTAACAGGGACGATGCAACATGGAAAGCACTGCACGCGTTGAGGCTTCCATTCGTAGCGAGGTGGATAGGTAGCCGGAACAAAAGCGGAAGGTACAAACGGTACATGTCCCGCGTTGGCTGAAAGGCTACTTACATAGTACCACGTGCCTACCTCTACGGACCTGGGGAAGGATGCTTCCTTGCAGCACTCGGTACATTTCGCAAACAGATGCGGCAGGGTTGCAGGAGCTTTGGATTCCAACTTCGATGACCGAACTTGGCCAAAACACCAAAAACGTGACAACAACCACACCAACAGTCAATTCTCGCTCAGGCATCGACCGTTTAGCACCGCGTTGCCAAGTAACGCTTCAAAGAACCGATTCATTTGACTCTCCGACCGTCCGACGGGACTTCGAGCTACAAACATGTCAAGCAGCAAGTCAAACACGGAGGCGCATTCGACCGTTGTGTTTCAGCCCAACGTTACCATCACCTCCAGATCCCTGTCCTACTCGTGTAGTGACCACTCCCGTCCGCATTCCTTCATCAAGCCATCAACTAACCTTTTGCTCGACATCTAGTTGATCAACCCAAAGAACTTCAACATTACCTGCTCATTCGTCGGTGCCACATGCCCCACGCCTGCGCCCATATACCCAACCAGCTTGCTGCCATCTCCATACACAATCTGCGTATACGCCTGGCTCGGCACTCCGCTGACATTCCTCGAAAACTCTACCCCCAGCACGTTCGACCACTGCTTCAGGGCCTCCATCGCGCACCTTGGATACACCAGATTGTCGGCGAGGCCGTGGTAGATCTGCATCCTTGGTCTACGTCCCGTGTACCCCGGGTAAGAATTCCTCACAAAGTTGCCCCATTCCTCCGCAGTGTGCTGCAGTCCCCTGGCGCAGGTCTGGTTGGGCGAAAAGGGAGTAGCCGACGCAGCACCGGCGAAACAAGCGTGCGCAACGCCCGAGTACGCAGCCCCGGCCTCAAAGACCTCCGGGTAAGTGGCGGCCATGACGTTGGTCATCATGCCGCCCGACGAGGTGCCCATGACATAGACGCGCGAAGCGTCGGCGTTGTATTTGGCGATGGTGTAGTTCACCATGGCAACGATACCGAGGGAGTCGCCGCCGGCTCCGTGCGTGAGAGAAGCAGGGTCGTTAACTCCCCAGCAGTTGGACATGTTGGGCGTGCCGGGATAGATGAGGATGAAGCCGTATTGGTCGGCGTAGGAGGGTAGGCGTGTGCCCGAGTACCAGGAAGGGGCGGTGCCGCCACAGCCGTGGAGCTACCGTTGCCTCGTTAGCATCGCGGATGTGCGAGAAGCAAGAGAAGAGTACTCACAGCCACAATAATGGCGGGCTTTGTGGCCAGCTTGTCAGGGACGTAGGTGTACATTTGAATGTTGGTTGGGTTACTGCCCCAGTTTGTCACCTGCTGCAGCGAGGCACAGAGGCCTGTGGCCGCGGTGAGGGCGAGCCCGAGCAATGTTTTGGGCAACATGGTGAAAAGGGCGAATGAAGTAGTTGAGGTGTTGGTAGATGATGGCTTACTGCTTGCTTTCCCCAGATTCTCCATCCGAATTGGTATGGCGCCAGACAATTTATACTTCAGTTGTCATCCAAAGGACCTCTCAGGGGCCGATCGACGCGTTCACCGAACCTCCTCATTCTCTATCATCGAATGGCCGTACAAGAGCAAAACTCCCAACTAGGCAGCTCCGAAAACTCCGTAACCGATGTTGCCTTCGTGCCAGGGAACAAGAGTCTTGAGGTACATTCGGTGAAACATAGTGCACGCACAGATGTCGGGTAAATGCCCTCGTCAACCCGTCACAACGTAGCATTTCCCCAACTGTACAGTGACGCGCAGATCTTGGTAAGGTACCCCAGAGCGTCCAAATAACCTTTTGCTTTTCGGAGTCAAGGAGCCGCAGCTTCGGCAAGTAGTGTCGGTAATTGGGAATAGCCTCACCGCTGATACTCGCATGTCATTGGCGTGGGAGCAGGCTAGATGACTTCAGCCATGCCTTGTTTCAATGCCATTGCATTGGAACAGCAGTATAGCACCTCCTGCTCTCCAAGACAGACCCAACGAGTTTATCTGACCAGATATTCGGCAAGGTATAATCCCTCTGTGATGGGGATTATGTTTCCCCCTTCCCCCTCTAGCTATGAACTCCAGTGTCATGCTAGCTGAGGTCATCATTGGGGAGGGACACTCTGCCCATTTACCGCTGGCTGTATTTGAAGTGACAGCGATGGGAGCCAGCAATGATTGAGCACATCATCCATATTAGTGTGTGTTCATCAAGGGCGAAATGCGGTCAGGGTCCGAATTTGGAACGCTGTGTAGAGGTATCCAAACGGCGAGCTATTGACAGTCTTAAAAATGATGTTATACATCTTCTTACATCGACTGACTTCAACGTCCTCTGTGTTTTAATTGTCCATTTTCATGGTGATGGCATGTCTCCCTTATCTACTTCTAGTTATGACTATGGATTTTTTGGTCCATTCGTCGCAATTACGGTCAGTTACAAGGTTGAGTCAAGAGTACCTCTAGTGCTTGGAAGAGCCTGTGGAAGAGTGGAAGTGTCTGGGCATGAATACGGCAACGAGCCTGCGACCTGGCTGGATGGATAGGCCCTACCGTAACTCATATGTACACACATATCGCAGTAGGTAACATTCTCCTCTGCTCCCCTTTTCTTCTCCTCCAATCCGAACCCTTGAACATCCCCCCTTTTTGAGGAACGCCTGCATCTCCTCTCTCTTTACCTCCAGCCACCCTTCCACTTCTCCTTTCCCCATCTCCGTCCCTTCTTCTCCGTACTCCAGCCTCACCAACTCCCTAACCAACTCCCCTTCCACTCCCTTAGATACCCCCAGTTTTTTCCACCACCCCAAAACACCTCGACGCTCTACTCTCTTCCAGCACACCCGCTATGCTCACTGGCAATGGTCTGTCTTCTGCCTCCAACCTGGATGTTTGGGCAGGCGCACGCGGGCAATAACAGAGCGTCGCTCGTCAGATGTAGAAAACTCGAAGCAGCACCAGTGCTGCCCGGCGGGAAAGCGGTCGGAGAGCCTGACGGGTGAGTGCAGCAGTTGTTCAACGTGGGATTTCAGGCCATCTTTGTTTATGGAGGACATGAAGCGCTCAAGATGATTGCGCATTGGGCCGTTGTCTTTCCAGTCATCGTAGGATTTCCAGCGGTCGGAGGGACGTTGTTTCTTGGATTGTTCGTGTTCAGGGGGGGGGGGGAGATGGAGGTTACCCCCTGTGCTGGAGTTCGGGGTATGTTTTTCCGGGGTTTGTTGTTGGAGAGTGACGGAATCGAGAAAAGGGGCGTAGCCAGATGAGAGGAGTGACGACATGATGTAACCCGTTTACCGTCGCCTTTGCATGCAATTCCACAGTTTTGCGAAAACCAGAAGACTCAATATCGGAAGATCAACTCAATCCTATATGGGCAGGTTGAAAACGGACATACTGTCACGATGTGACGACACAAGTAGCGACAGTACTTGAACCGTTCTCCTTAGTTGCCTATGCACCGTAGTAATTACCTATTTTGGGGAAAACGAAAACGCAAAGCTGCTGGTTAATGTGCTTCTACATCAAATTGACGTTCTATTTAGATGATCTTTTTCCTGCGATAGATTAATAGTTCCTCAGCCCATTGGGGGAACCCACGTTGAGAGATCGTTTTGGCTCTCAAAGATAAATGAGAATCAGTGGATGTTATATGTGTTTGGCTTGCGCGAGGCATGTGTGGTATTGATGCTATTATAAATAAATAAAACTTTGGGTTAGCAACAAGCGGTTGTATAGTGTAGCGGTTATCACTCCGGATTCTGATGTCGTCAGAACATTCCGGCAACCCCGGTTCGATTCCGGGTACGACCTGATCTTTTGCAATTTTTTGTGTCCTATCAAGTGTTTTTTTTTCTTCCAGCAAAAACCAAAGTTAAAGAAAGGCCAATATCTTCTGTTATAGAAGATAGTAACACATAGCTCCGCCTTTGCAAATGCCTGTCAACGTTTTCCATGCTAACATAGGCAACAAGACTAAGAACCTGAGAGGCATAGTGCAACAACACTTTTTGCTGCGACAAAGGGAAGGTGGAGAAGTGATCGTGAAATTTTGATAGTAATTTTTGGAGTGAAGGCAACGGGAGATCTGACCCAAGACGTGAGCAGCAAAAAAAGAAAGAAAGAAAAACTTGTACGAGCTAACGCGAGCTGAAGCTTGAATAAAATTTGGGAAAAAGGTAGGTCGTACCCGGAATCGAACCGGGGTTGCCGGAATTTTCTGAAAACATCAGAATCCGGAGTGATAACCGCTACACTATACAACCTTTGCAAGCATGTGATGATTATTCGCTGTCGAACTGCGTGGTGGAAGTGCACCTTTATCAATCCATATGTGCCCTAATCAAGGTGGAGATCGAGCATGTGGTGGACTCGTGCTCCGGACCGGACCCTGGGTGCCTGGACACGATGAGGCCGGGATGGCCCGCTCCGGAGGGCGGAGACTCCACAAGGCTTGTACATAGATGGGGACGTCATGAGCGAAGCTGTCGCAATGAGAATGCTTGTTGCGCAGCGTGTATGTGTAGAAGATGCGGTAGTTAGTGAGCACATTGTACCCTGTACTTTCGCGACTGACGACCATCACCATGTATACTGTCCTTGCCACTTGGCAAGTACAGATCCGCAAAGACGATGCCAGAGCCGCGCAAGCTTACCCTAAGCCACGGCCCAACTGGGAAGCTTGTGGACCTTGGCGCAACAAAGGATCAGTTGAACCCGGGCACAGGGTCGGCGGACAACCGGGTAGTGTAGCCGATATTGTGTGATGGCTGTCGTCCCGTCTTTCAGCTTGACTATCCGTTCCCGATTCCGAGCGAGTCTAGAGGCGCCACTAAGGCCGGGACCAGAAGCCACGGGTATACCCTTCCGAGCCGCCCGCGTGGATCTCGAAGCTCAGCGCACGGGTTGATCATGTCAATCGTATTTTATGGATAGCACATCTCATTTGAAGGATCTGGAGGAGGTTGCATGGCAGTTTCGCACTGATGAGCGTACGACCGTGACACGGAATTGGCAGTGGTTCTTCAGCTCTTGGGACTCGGGATGGGACCGTGTTTCATATTGTCGTGGCGGCGTATGCAGAGGGTTCGGCCGTCGAGCTTCGATGTCATGTCCCGTCCTGGGGAGCCTCAGCCAAATGTAGCGACAATTACCAGTCGGCACCGTTGATTGTGTACGGGTACGGATCATGGTCATGGCTGCAGTCGTGGCTATCGGACTGGATGGAATCGCGATTTTGGGCCAATGTACTTTGACAACAACAGTCTATTCAGAAGAGCATGATGTCAGCAGTTGCTCGGTCATGACCGGGTGGCTATAGGGAAAGGTGCTGAGTTCCGAGAGTAGTCCCTTTTTCGATAACTGGCAGTGATGGTAGTCGGATGATGTTGCTGGTCGGCGGTCGCCAATCCCTTCCACTTGGGCTCGGGACGCAGATCAGCGTTTGGTGTCCCGGAACGAGGGACATGAGAGATGGTCGGTCGTTGCGCCCAAGGGACCGGGGAGGGGAGAGGGGGATAAAGACGTTACGATTTGCGACTGGAGATTGGGCTTCTGGCCTGAAGGTATGTAGCGAATGTTCGGAGAATGGAAGACGATGGGGAGGACAAGGAACAGACGAATTGCAATCGACAGGAGAGCAACACTGAAACAGCGACGAAGCTCCAGGGACCAAGACAGGGCAGAACACTTGGCAGGGTAGCGGCAAGCAGCAACTGGTCGCCGAGTGGTCGGAAGAGGTGGGGGGCAGAGAGGGCATTCTCGTGCATGTCAATCATGTGCGACAGGGGCACGATAAGCGGACTGGAAGGCCCATTAAAATGCCCAGGAGGAACCAATGCCAAGGAACGGCGAAGCTGTGGAGACACATTTCGAGAAACACAGCACGGACCTTTCTCCTCGTGGGATGAGACAATCAGGAAAAAAAGGGGACGGGAGGTCTGAGATTAAACAACGGTCGTTAGGTTGCGAGAATGAGATAAAAGGGCGTTGGAGTGGCTAGGCAGTGTCGGGTGATATCATGTCTGCATCTTGGGCTGCCTTGGGGAGCTTGATGAGGACATGATAGTGAAGGGAGGGAAGAGGGAGAGGGAGAGGGATGCCGGGATTCGAGATTAATTCTAGAGGTACCATGGACCTGAGAACTGTGACAACTGAATCCCCTGGACATGATGGCGGATTCGACGGCAAGCCACGTTGGATGGTGGTAGTGCTAGGTAGAGGTACCTAGGTAGAGAGTTGTCCATGGTATCTTTGCTCTCAGCCGAGGACTTTGCAAATTTGCGAGTCTGTGTGGCTGTGATTTTTTAGACTTGGTGAGAGTCCAAGACACCACCTGCAGCATCCTGTCACGACTTGGCATGATTGCTTTTTCCGAGCCGATGAATTTCCCATGGACATCCATCACTCTCAGCTCGGCCGGGTGAAGGCATCGTTCACAAGCCGGGGGCTGCTGTCACGATTATCGGGTGAATTTATCTAGTCAAAAAAAGCAGTCACACGAGAATTGACAGTTTTCGTCACTTTTCAGCTTCATGTGTTGATGTAATCATGTACGTACTACTGTTAGGTGCACGTACCTAGAGGTAGTGTAGGTACTATTGCAGGCTGTTGTACTGTGGAGGTACACTACACTTTACAAGTCCAAGTCAGTTTAGACCCCTTTCGTGACCCCTGTCGCCAATCTGGACCTCCAGTGGACTTTTGGTGCTGTTAGCGCATTGCGGTAAAATTGGGGGTACTTCCACTTACGCTCGACAGGAATCGTTGCAGCTTCAACCTTGCACGCCAGCAATTGAGAAGTCCAGTCCAGTCGCTCATTCGATTCTCACTTCCAGTTCCAACCACGAAGAACCCACGACTCGACGACGAGCCCACGTCCAAGCTCCTGTCCTCAGCACATCCAGGACCCTCCATCTCCGACCGAATACACTCGCTTCGTTTCACAGAGAGCGAGCCACTGGCCCGTCTCCTTTCACCAAATCACCAGACATCTCTCCCCGTCACCTCAGCCCAGGAGGGACCCAGCTGAGAGCAGCAGCCGCAGGTCCGGACGAACACATTCAGTCAGTCACCCATAAGTCCCTTGGTTCCAGAGGTTCGGTTCTGTCGCTGTGTGTGTCTCTCTCGGTACCCCTCAGCATGGCTGACCTTTGACGAGTCCAACCAGACAGACAGTCAACCCCGACACTTTGATTCTATACCACGACACCGACCCCGATTTCTATCTCTTAATCGTAAACCCTAATACCGGACGCGGCCCAGTCTCAACACGTTTACGTCGGAACCTCCTCGCACGCGACGACCGTATCGGGACGAATCAACCGACCGACCGACCGAGTCAGTCTCATCAGGGAAAGCTGAGCTGAGCTCTGGGTTCCTAGTTCAACCCACCCGCCAAGGCAACGGCGACGGCGACAATTACAGCTATCCTCTTGTCGCAGTATCCACCATCCCCCAGATAGCTTGAAACATAGATGCCTTTTACCTGGCCAACACCGCCAAGATGCCCTGGCAACCATTGCCCCGAATTGCTTTCGCCGTAGCTACATATCCCTTCACTGCCTCCAGCGCGGCAGACCTCCCCCTCGAAATCGGCGACGAGTTATACATCATTGAAGAGACACCCGATGGAAACTGGTTGAGAGGCTACCTGGTCGCCCCTCCAAGTCTGCTTGCCGGCCTGACCAGTGTCAACGGCCAGACATTAGAGGCTCGCGTCTTCAGTGGCATCTTCCCCCGCAGCTGTGTCGAGGTACGCGAAGTGCTGGGCGAAAGTGACGAGACTGACGACAGCGAGCCTGACGATGGGGAGCCAAACGGAGAGAAGAAGAAGAGAAGGAGCGAACGAGTGACAAAAGAAGGCCGCTTGTCCGTTCCCGTACAACGCGATCCTAATGCGCCTCGACCACCTGCTCCCGTGCCTATGCTCAAGATTGGCGACGAAACACCTACTTCGGCTGCCGAACCCCTCATTGATGAGATCGCATCCTGCCTCCGCGAATGGCACTCAACAAACCTCCATGGGCTCCTGCTCTCGCGACAGTACGAAACGCTCGACACTCTTTCCAAGCTGATCACAAGCCTCAACCTCTCGCGACAGCAGTTTCTCCATAATGTCCTCACTACCTGGGAATACGACAACCTGCGGGAAAAGACGGTTTGGGATCTGGTCCGTGTCAACAAGCTGTGTGGAGGAGAGGTCATCGTGCGCGATCCCAACGCCCGTGGCCGTGTGATGACGGGCGATGATTCTGTCGTAGAAATAACCCAACTGCAGTCCGTCATGAGCCTGCTGGACGAGCCTCCAACAACCACACCCGAGTTGACGGCCTTGCACCACTTGATGGTGGACATCAAAATGTTTGCCGGCGCATCCAACGAGTCGACAACCCTGGTCCTTTACCTTGCAACAAAAGCACCCGGAGGAAGAGTCACGCCTCTGTCGGAGAGTTACATAGTAGATGTGCCAGCTGGCGGACAACTAACCAACCTAGCGCGGACCTCCCAGATGCGCACGCTTTTTTCCGATCTCTCGTCTGCCGACGTTGGTGATGTACAGTCCTCCAAATCCGAGTTGTTGTTGGTCGTCAAAATCCGGGCACCTCAGTCAGTTGTAGCAGCCAAGCCGAGCTCTCGATCAGGCGCGCCCTCCAATAGTTCGCCCCAGATATCCGCCAAAGAGTCAAAACCACCCCTGACGTCCGGGAATAAAGCCTTGCGTAGGAGCATGGTTTGGGCCAACAAGAATACCCGGGGCGCGTTTACTAGGAAGAACTCGGACCTTGAGGCGTTGTCGGAGCAGGCCGAAGAACAGCAGACCAGCAATGAAGCTCTTGAAAGTAGGGACGGAGGACCACCGAGTACCGCTAACTCGAACAGAGCAGGTCGTTCTTCTATGGACGGCCAATCCCCACCGACTACAGCCGACAGGACGGTCGGCGTTGGAGTGCTGAAGCTGAACTCAATCATGAAGCAGCAGGGCGAGGAGGTTGAACATGTGGTCAACATCTGGGCGCCCTGCTCCAAGTTCCCATCGGACAGACATGGTGACAGCGAGGAATGGGACCCACTAATAAAGGAAATATGCGACATCAGATCAGGGCACCATGAAAGATCAAGGAGAGCCGAAAGGTTACAGATACGCCTTCGGTCCTTCAACAACCCGGACGCCGACGCCCTCATCAAGATGACGCCTACGGTCTTGTCTGGGATCTGCAAGACCAACAAGATGGGTTTCTCTGGAGCGCCAACCAAGCCGCGATCAGACATCTATGTCACCATTGACGAAGCTATCTTGACCAGGCAGACCCTACTATCCCGGTACGGAGCAAGCGCGACAGCGCTGCCCAGCAGTATTCACAGCACCAACTTGCAGATTACCCTCGAGGTACGTCGGGCAAATGGCGAACGCATCGACTACTGCATATATCCCTCCTCCAAAGACGAAGGCCTGAGCACATGGAGATCGACAGCCGTCGACCGTGGAGACCCGTGGAAGCAGATCGTCAAGCTCGTCCTTGCTCCCCAAGATGTCCATCAGTCACACGTCGTCATGTACCTTGCAGATGCGCCAAATCCTCCGTTCGCTGTCGCATATCTGCCTCTGTGGGATCAGCAGGCCTTCATCCATGACGGTTCCCATAACTTGTTGTTGTACAAGCTGGATGAGAATACGTCCAACGCCCAAGCCCCTGCAGGAGGCAAGGGAGGATATCTGAGCTTGCCTTTTGCTTCTAACTTCTGCGATGAGCATGCTGAGGTGACTGGTCCGCTGGCTGTTTTGCGCATCGATACATATCTTTGCAGCACGCGGTTCTCCCAAGACAAGGTCGTGCTGGGCCTGTTAAAGGGCAAGGACTTGCCTCAGGAAGAGGTACCTGACATTCTGAAGGCATTCATCTTCGTACCCGAAATCGAGGTTGTCAAGTTGCTGAACGATGTCCTGGACGCCCTTTTTGGCATTCTTGTTCATTACACCGGGCACGACGACCTGGAAGATCTCGTCTTCACTGCCTTGGTCAGAGTGCTGGACATTGTTCATGACAGGCGCTTCAACCTCGCTCCTCTTGTCGACCAGTACGCAGAAACTCGGTTCAATTACCCATTTGCCACGCCCTGTCTCGTCAGGTCCTTTACCAGGCTACTGTCAAAACCCACAGAGCCAGAGACATC